TGCCAAATTAGAGTTGGTGGACAAGTTGCTGTTACACTACAACATTCCACTATAAATCATCGGCACAGAAAGCTTGACTCAGCCCCAGAAGAACCCTGACAGATGGGCTCAGATCACAAGAAACAAAGAGGGGGTGGGCAGGGATGACTCGTTTTTCTTCTACCACGGCTTTCCGGCTTTCCGTTCTTTCTGTGCTTTCACCAAGACATTTTCAGCCTCAGCCCCCTGCAGTCCTGAGGGCTAGAAACCTAACTTTTATGCAAATGAGAGCTGAGATTCCAAAGGGTCCTGTGAACTGCCTCAGCGAGGGCACCTGTGGCCAGCTGCACCAAGCAAGTGAGTAACCCATCCTACCATCTGCAAACATATGGAAACACTCCAGCATATGGAAACTGACAGCAGAATCAAAAGATCAGTTGAGCAAATAGAACCCCCAACCTCACCCCCCTAAAAAACCCCAGAGTAGCATCTATGTTGCACCTCAGTTAAGAACCTCAAAAGGGCATGTTGCAGTTGGACTACAATGCTTAGCAATCACCGTGCACCACCACAGGGGCTGCAGCCCAACTTATTTTTATTTTATCTATTTTTCAATTTATATCCTGCCTTTTTCCCACAAAGGGCTCCAGGCAGCTTACATCTCCTCCTCCATCTTATCCCCGCAACAACAACCCTGTGAGGTAGGTTGGGCTGAGCATCTGTGACTGGCCCAAAGTCACCCAGTTGGCTCTGTGGCTGAGCGGGGACTCGAACCCAGATCGCCTGAGTCCCAGTCCCACGCTCTTAACCAGGACACCACACTAGCTCCCCAGTTTCTTCCATACCTGGAAGAAACCAAGTTGGGGAAAAGCTGCAGTTCTAAGACTTAGCTCCTGGGCCCATCCCATAAAGCAGATTCAGAACCGACCAAAGGAAGCGCTTCTTCACCCAGCACAGCGTTGAGTGAGGGCGTTCTCCTCCACAAGATGTAGCGAGGGTCTCCCACTGGGATGGCTTCAAAAGGGGGAGGCGACATTCCTAGAAGAGGCGGCTATCCACCGCTACCAGTATGTGCTACCTCTGCCATCAGGGGAAGGATGCCTGTGCACACCTGTTGCTGGGGAGCATGGGTGAGAGGGTGCTCTGCTCTCACGTCCTGCAGCGCAGGGCTCTTGTTACGGTCTTAAGGACCGCTCAAGCACCCTTTCTGGGGCAAGGCACTGCCATCTGGTGGCGGCCAGGAGCAACTGCAATTTTGTTTGTTTACCACATGTCGCCCGCTGCAAACGCGCAAAGTCCCAGGACATTCTCCTCCACCGCGACCATCCGCGTCTTCTCTGCAGGACACTGCAAGTTTGCCTAGAGACATGGGGTGCCTCCACATAGCAGGAGGGAAGCAAAGAAGAAAAAGTCGGGAGGAACAGAGCTTGCAAGGAGCTGCCAACAGACACGCCTTTGTTTTCCAGACAAGCGCAAATGGAAGCCTAAAACACCAAGCTTCCTTTTAAAAAAAGAATCATTCTCATTCCCAAGTGTGGAGGGAAGAAACTTGGAACTGCTTTCTCCACCCAAGCACCATTTCCACACACACCTCCTCCTCCTCCTCCAAAAATATCAAGATAGTGTTTTAAAATCTGAAGCACCCAAGGAAGAATTATGCACAATCAGGCACCCGCGTACACGAGACGTGCACGCAACTTGCAAGGATCATGCTGGCAGGAGGAACTACGGATCCCAGGTGCATGATCCCCCAAAGCCTAGACCTCTGCAAGCTTTCTGCAAGACCTTTGCACTGAAAGCATCAAATCCCAGAGAAAAGCCAACAACTTTTTGAAAAGATAGTAACAGGTGTGGTGTAGTGGTTAGAGCACCAGACTAGGATGTGGGAGGCCTAGGTTCTAGTCCCCTTTTGGCCATAAAATTTACTCAGCGACTTTAAGTCAGCCATCAAACCTTAGCCTAGCCGACTTGACAAGGGTGTTGAGATAAGAAAGAGAAGAGTTACTTGCTGGAATAAGTGTGATAGAGAGATAAACATACAATACCACCTGCTTAGAGTTTCTGCTGCATTTTCATCCTTTCCACAAAAAAGATGCACCCTTCCTGGGCCTGCAGCCAGAATGGGACTGCAGCACCCAGCATTCCCAGCCAACGTGGGAGGTACAATGCAGCACCTCTGCAGAGGGCACTGGGATGCAGGCGGCTTTGGTCAAAATCCTCAGACCTTGCGGAGACAGATATGGACAGGGCCAGCTGTTTCTTCCGCTCTGCCTGCACTGTGCCTGTGGGCAATCTCTTCCCAGCTCCAATCGGAAGCCCGAGTGTCGTGGCCCCTCTGCACTTCCAGACCCTTACAGGCGTTCTGCCCTAGGGCAACTCAAACAGGTACAGGCTCTCTGGGATGCTGCCCATCAACGCCTACAGGCTGGCCAACCATGTGCCAATGCTGCCCTCTACTGGCTCCACCTCTGGAACATTTTTGGCTCACACAAATGAGGAGTGAGCAGCCCATGGGCTTGTGGAATTAAATTCCTTTTTTTTTTTAAACTAGAACGCAGAGGTATACTAATCACCATCAGGGGCAAAGGGGGAGGGAGGTACGAGTTGCACCCCAAGACTATATACTTTTAATAATAATGAGAATGACATCACCTCCCAATGAGTGTAAACAATTGCACTGCACTGCATTTCATTAATTGAAACAACTCCTGATGAAAGTGAAAGAAGAAAATGCAAAAGCAGGACTCCGGGAGAATATTAAGAAAACAACAATCATGAGTGCAGCTGAATTAGAGTGTTGCTGTCAACAATGAAGAAGTTGAAATTGTGAAAGATTTTGTTTACTCATCAATTCAAAGGCAGACCAAAGCCAAGGAATTTGAGGAAGACTGAGACTTGGAAAGGCAACCATGATGGAACTAGAAGAGACATTCTAGAATTTTAGACTGTTTCGCTGGAGACCACGGCCAAGATCATCTATGGCAGTGTATTCCGTGTCACCATGCATGGGTGTGAGAGCTGGACCGTGAAGAGAGTTGACAGGAAGAAATGGATGTGTTCAAAACATGGTGCTGGAGGAGACCAACAGAAAGACAGACAAGTGACTCCTAGATTTATTTTTATTTATTGATTTATTGATTTATATCCTGCCTTTTTCCTACAAAGGGCTCAAGGCAGCTTACATCATCTCTCCTCCTCCATCTTATCCCCACAACAACCCTGTGAGGTAGGTTGGGCTGAGAGTCTGTGACTGGCTCAAAGTCACCCAGTTGGCTCCATGGCTGAGCGGGGACTAGAACCCAGACTGTCTGAGTCCCAGTCCCATGCTCTTAACCACGACACCACACTGGCTCTCAATTCATCAATTCATAGATCAATTCATGCCAGAGCTTTCCCTGCAAGAAAATGATGAAACTTAAGCGGTTGTTCTTTGAGCAGATCTTGAGAAGGCAAAACTCTCTGGAAAGACAATTGTGCTAGGGAAAGTTGGAGGCAAAAGAAGAAAAGGAAGAGTTATGGATTGTGCCCATAAAGAAAGACTTGTGTTTACAAGAATGGAGCAGGACTTTTTTCCTGCCTAATGACACACAGGTTTCACTCTAAGTATAAAAAGCAGTGCTGTTCTTAAGAGCTTCTTCTGAGACCTTTGCTGAGAGGATGCTGAGAGGGTGGCCTCTCTCAGTCCTGATGCCGTTACGGAATGCTAAGGAGGCCAGGCTCTCTTCAGTATTGCAATACTTGCTCTCTACCTGGGAATTCTTCTCACCAAACCTATATTCGCCTGTCATCTCATGACTTATGTTTTGTATTAAGTTGCAAATTTTTGTGGGAGGTGTAATCCAAGCAGGAAGAAAGGCAGTCTGTAAATGTTTTAAGGCTCCACCAAATGTAGGTTAAATGGAAAAAAGCCCTACAACTCGCAGTGTTCTTTAGCCCACATTCTGGGAGCTACAGGGCTATACAAATGGTTGCCCACTCAACCAACAGCGCCATCCTATGGCTGCTAGACAGAATCTGGAAAGGCTGCAGGATTTCCCGAGAACTGCAAGGTCCGAAAAGCTTGTTGTAAGGTCGATAAGGCTGGAACGCCCTGCCCGCAAGGCTGACACAGAAAGAGCTGGTCTTGCTGCATCTCTGAGGCTGCCAGAAGGATCCTGGCGATCGGACTGAGCACTGGCCAAGGAGGCAGGGAGAGGCGGCGGCGGCAGGCGCTCCCACAATACCAAGTCTGATGGTGCCTCGTCCTCCTTCTCACACTCACTGAAGTGTTGGCGCTTAGACAGCAGCTGGAGTATGGAGACAACCTTTCGTCTCCAGGCACCTTCTCCTCTGTCTAGAACGCCCACAGCTTTCCAGTTTTGGACAGTCGTGGCCGTCCCCACTGGACCGCACCCGGCATCACCTGCAGTCCAAGCAAGGTGAAAGCCAGCAGGTGTGCACGCTCGCTCTCTCCCCTTGCAGTGTTGTGAAGACCTTGTGCCGACTGGGGAAAGAAGCTAAAGTCTGGAGATGCCGTGGAGGCCACTAAGGTGGCAGCAGGGCCACAGAAGGTTGACCCCAATTTAGGGTTCAGCAGGCAGTGGCACCTGAAGCTGAAGGAAGAGGTGGCTTCTGTTTCAGATCGGTTCACTCAGTGCTGTTCAAAGATGGCACCACTGAATGTTTCTGGCAGGAAAAGGGAACTGTGCTCTGATACTGTGAGCATTTTAACCTGTTTTTAAATGGGCTGGGAATTATGGGAGTTGCAGCCCCTCGTCCCGAGGGTACCGGATCTGGGGAACACTGGTACACGCGCGAGCAACTTTACAGTAGCCTTTTCCAACCAGGCGGACTCCAGATGTATGGAACTACAGCTCCCGGCATCCCCAGTAAGCACAGACACATCTGGAGGACATCAGGCGAGGGAAGGCTGCCTCGCAGCATTGAAGAAGACCCTCCAATAAAGAAGGGGACGGAAGAAATTAAAGCGTTCCTAGGTCCGACTGGGAACCCGGCTCAAGGAGGAGAGGACGGCAACTCACCCAGTACCAGGATCCGGTCACCTGGATTCAGCGCTGTCTCCAGCTGCTCTCGGAAGCATTCCAAGCCCCCAAACCACTCCGTCGGATCGGCCCCCTCGTCTCGATACCGCGACTCCCAGAAGCTTCGCTCCCGGTACCGGGCGTTGGAGTCCGGCAGCCGCCTCCGCGGGGGCCGCTCCATGCTCCGGGCGAGCGGCACAGCTCAGCGCGGCCAGACGGGGGCGGCAGAGGCATCCGGGGGAAGGAGGGCGGAGGAAGACACGCCAGTCCTCCCGAACCCGCTCTCCGCCCACGTGCCCCGTGAAAACCACGTGGAACTTCCGGTCTTTATTTCCGGGCTCAGGCGGTGCAACGTGAATAACTTCCCGTCAGAAGCGGGCACGATCTCCCGGCTTAGCGCTGGCGGAGCAGGCCGCTCTCTTTATGGGCTGCACCACCTCACGCTGCAGGGAGAGGCTCGCAAAGCGGGTGTTCCTACACGAGGGAGAAACCCCTTAACTCTACAGAACAAGCGCGTGAGGGAGCTGGGATCGGGAGCTTTCTTTCCCCTGACTTTTAGTTCGCCATACGCTCGGACTTACTGGGGGTTGCTGATTTCATGGAAGGGCTCTTTCCATCACATCAGCTCCCACCTGCGGTCTGAAGTGGTACAGCTCACACAAAAGCTTGCCACCTCAGGGAGGACTAGGATCTTAGTCTTTTATCAGTTTTCAAGGATACAGACATGCACTAGAAGGAGAGGAGAGAGAAGTGGTTTTTTTTTTTAAGGATTCTATCCTATGCAGGTTTCGACTGGGCGTCCCTCATCCAGCATGAAAAAATGGACAACTCCCGCCCCCCCCCCGCGGCAGACACGTGGGGAGTTATGAGCCTTGCCACCTCTTTGCACCCCAAGAGAGCTCTCCCAAGGGCTGCGCTCCCCTCGAAGGAGCAATTAGTCCTCTGGGGGTGCCCTCTGCGCCGCCACTGTCACATTGTCACAAGGACCAGGTGACTTCAGCACCTCTGAATGCCTTCTCACGATTCTGAGTGCTGGTTTGAACCTATATGGCTCGGGACCTTGACACCTGGCGAGTATCGCTCCCACGGCCATCCCGTTCTGGGACCGGCCTCGGATGGCCACGTCCGAGAGAAGCTACATTGGTGGCAAGTGAAAGGGACTTTTCCGTGCCCCCTCCCGCCCCCCGGTTCTGGAATGAGCTCCCCGCTGAGGCCAACCTGACGCCGACCTTATCCGCGCCAGCTAAAGACTACTGCTGGGCATTCAATTCGTTAACTGGGGCTTGCTAATAGCTAAACAGGTCTTAAGATTTTCTTCAAATTATTGCAATTTTTTGAATCTGTTTTAATGTTGGTATAGTAAGATTTTGTGATGTTTTGCTGTGGTGTAGTTTATATTGTATTTTTAATGTTGGGTGGAATAGAAATTAAATTTTGAAGTACTGTAACTAAAAGTAACTTTCGAGTGCCCACCAAAATAATTTTTTGCTTCCAGAGCAGTTGAAAATAGCCCTTAAAAGCAAGCATGTTTTCCCCTGTGGTTCATTCCCACTATGCTCCTGCATGCGGCTGAAACCTGGGTTCAAATTCTGCCCCATATTCCGAACGGATGCGTACGCAGTGCCTCTTCCCTACAGGGCAATCCTGTGCCGCCCCGGGCAGTTCTGGCGAGTGAACACGGGATGCCGAGCCAACCAATTTCTCTGCCGCGTGGCTTTGGGCTGCTTTCGCGCCGTTTTACCGCGGTGCAAGAGGGTTCTTGGTGCGTGCTGTGCCCTTCCCTGTATTGCAGGCCACGCTGAACGCTTAGTTCCCGGAAGTGCTGCAACGAATTTTTAGAACGTCCAACCGCTGCCGTGGCGAGCAGCTGCGACCTTCCCTCGGCCAAAGCGCCCGGCGCCCGGTGCTTGGCTGCGGGCCGGTTGGGCACCGCGGGGCCTGCGAGCGCCGGAACTCTCTGTGCTGGGCGAGCGCGCAGCGGGGAGCGCTTTGCTCGGCGGACGCGTTGTCCCTGGCGGCGGCGGCGGCGGCGGCGGCGGGCTCGGCCTGGCCGGGCGGGCGGGCATGGCTCCGGGAGGCGGGCTGCGGAGGAAGGCGGCGGCGGGGCCGGGGCAGCTGAGCGGGCCGCCCTTCCTGCGCCGGCTCTGGCACGACAAGCACCTGGTGCTCTTCGAGCCGCAGTACACGCCGCTGGTGGCCGCCTGCCTCTGCCTGGCGGAAGTGGGGGTCAACCACTGGGTCATCCAGAGGGTGGCCTGTGAGTGCGCGCGCCGCGGGCCCCGGCCGGGGAACGGGGAGGCCTCGGGGGAGGCCCGGGCGGGCGGGGAGGCGGACCGTGCCTGGCGGCGCTTGGGCGGACCCCGAGGGCTGGCGCGCTGGCGCGGGGATGGGAGGTGGGGCGCCGGCGTGGAGACGGTATGAGCCGCGGTGGGGAAGTCGAGGAAGCCTCTGCGGGTGAGGTGAGACTGCACCGGGCTGGCCTGAGGCTTATGGAACTCGCGCCCCCGCGCCCGAAACCCGAGATCCAGAAGCCACAACCTAATGGGAGAAATAAATTGAGCTTTGACGAATTTTGGGGCCCAAATATATTTTCTTTTACTACCAGAACTGAACAGAGTTCGCAGCCCTACACAGAAGATGCATTCCATCCCTGATTAACCCAGGCAGCCTTCAACTTAGGATGCTGGGAGCAAAGTCATTTTGTTGCAGCTGTTGATAAATAAAATTCTTGCTGATGTAGTGCAAATCACAGATGGATGAACTAGGAAACCGATCCAGATTTATTTATTTATTATATATATATCTCCCCATTTTCATTTTGAGGAATCCAAGGCAGCCTACATAATTCTACTCCTTTCAAACTTATTTTTACAAAAACTCTATGAGGTAGGTTAGGTGGAGAGCCTTTGACTGGCTCAAAGTCACCCAGTTGGCTCCATGGCCAAGCAAGAACTAGTACCCAAATCTCCTGAGCCTGAGCCTGCAGGATTAACCGGTTTTCTCTTCTGCTCTCCTCCCATCTCCATCCCATTTTAGAACTCTCCTTTTAGGCTCAGGCCCCTCCAGTGGCTGAGCCGAGCACATGTCTTTGTGTGACAGCGCAGCTTCCCCTGGTCTCTTCCCACAGATACAGAGATTGACTGGAAAGCCTACATGGATGAGGTGGAGGGTGTTGTCAATGGGACCCTGGATTACATCCAACTGAAGGGAGACACAGGCCCCCTTGTGTGAGTACTAGTGACCTTGCAGGCATGACGTGGGGTGGGGTTGGGGTGGGGTGGATGCATCTGCTAGACTTGGGTGGTCAGGCAGAGTCTCTCTCCCTCCTGTTTAGTGTTTGTGTTCTCTTTCTCCATAGATATCCTGCTGGCTTTGTTTACATATTCCTGGGTCTGTATTATGCCACTGACCATGGAACCAACATCCGCCTGGCCCAGTATTTTTTTGCTGTGCTTTACCTCACCACATTATTACTTGTTTTCCGCATCTACAGCCGAACCAATAAGGTCAGTAGCAACCACGGCATCCCAAGGAGTCACTACAGATACTCTCTTTCATGTCGTGCATAGCAATGCCCATCCAAGAACTTCCATCACATGCAGAATTTGTGCAGCTGGAAGTGGGTGCTCAAGAAGGGCAGCAGGGCATGCTGGTTGGGGTACACGGGCAGCAACTCTAGCCATCTGTTGTGGGGAGATCGTAATTTATACTTTATGTGGAGGGTTCAGTGTTCGTGGAACTGGACACAGTGATATAACCAACAATTTAAAAATATAAAAAAATGTCCTGCCAAGGAGTAGTCGGTCTAAACTGATTCTGCAAATGGTTGAATTTGGAAAGTGTGTGTGTGTGTATTTCTCATGGGCATAAACAGGGTGGTTTGCAGAAAGGCACTTGTGCATTGTGAGGGTGGGCTGCGCTTGCATGCTTTCAGTTGTGCTTCTGTTGCACTGCATGTAGCAAGGAGGGGAATCCTGAGCGATCTTTCTGAGACAGTGCAAGAAGCTTGTTATTAAAGGGAAAAGCTTTTGGCAGCTTCTTCTGGATGCTTGTCAAATATAGAAGAACAGGGTTGCATTTTCAGTGGCTGGATGGTCTGCCATCTTCATTTGGCAGAACTCCCAGCTTCCATCTCTAGGAAGGGCCGTGAGCTGATAGAAGCAACTAGAAATACAAAGGCTATTTAATCAATGCTGAAAGGTACCCAGTGGGAACTGCTGCAACTCAGGTTCCATGGAGTTGGAGCTGCTGCGCCAGTGGCTGATGGCTCTGATTATTCATTGCCCCCTGTCCTGCAGGTCCCCCCCTATGTTTTCTTCTTCATGTGTTGCGCCTCCTACCGCATTCACTCAATCTTTGTTCTGCGCCTTTTCAACGATCCAGTTGCCATGGCAATCCTTTTCCTGGCTCTCAACCTCTTCCTGGAGGAGCGGTGGTCCTGGGGCTGCTTGTGTTTCAGGTGAGACCCCCGTGGGCCCAGCCCTTTCATGGGTTGGTGTGGGGGGAAGGAGAGGCAAAGTGGGAGCTGACTGTGCCTACCTGTTGGTTCACACGGTGCATCACAACCATGCAAAACTCTCGATTCTCTGACTCTCTGCACTCACCCCTTTGTGTCCCTCCCAGTTTGTTTATTCCTCCAAGGAAGCCCACTTGTGAAACTCCATCTGTCGTTTAGGCTCTTTCTCTCAGTTCTGCTGTGCCTAAATCAGACAAGAAGTCCACCCATAAATACACCGGAATGAAGTGGTCCAACGGCACTTTAATTAGCATTTCTGTGTGCCATTTTTTGATTACTTTCTTACCAAACAAACTTACTTTACTGTTTTGATGTCATAAAATAAATCATTTGTAGCTTAGCATATAAACCTATATAATGGAGTGTATCTGTAAATTTTACAGAACAACCCAATCTGCATTGACTCGGAAATATGATCAGTTCTGATTAGTGGAATTTGCTACCAGCTAAACATACCCAGGTTTACTGCCCATTATACTTTTCTGCTCAGAAACCCTTTTGAATCCGGTGGGACTTACAGAGTCTGCAAGGCAATGCGGCCTTAATTTTGTATATGAGGAAGTGCAGCAGGTGTTGCATTGTTAGAATTCCCACACTAGATCAGAGATCACCTGAAGGTGCAAGTAACAATTCACCAAAAAACAAAGGCCTGCACGCTCCTCTCCTGAAGATGGCAGTAGAGTCTAGTACAAAAGTGTATTCCAAATTTGAGTGCCGCATGTATCAACACAATATACACAGGAGTTGATTGTGCTCACCTTGGAATTTCACCATCTCATTCTGCTACATCCATAGGCCGAGTTTTCTGTGAGGGACCATTCCTAGAGATCCACTGCCTGGCAGAGCTCCTCAAGATTTGTCCTCAAGATTTTTAGCTGCATCCCCCACCCTGCCTTCATCATTTCCAAGTTTCTAATCCTTATGAATACATTTTTTTCTGCCTCATTTCCCCTCCTCGCTTCTCTAGCTCCACGTGAACTGGACAGTGTTTCACCCTCTTTGTCCTTCCTGCCCTCCTCTTCCTGTTGGCCCCTACAACATACACAGTCTCTTCCTCCTCTCTGTTCCCGAGGCAGCCTCGTCTCCTCCTCCCCTTTTAGAAGCCCCTTCGGGATCCAGGGCAGGTGAGCGGTGGCAGATCCTCCCTCTCTGGCTCGGCTCCTCCGGTGCCGCCTGCCACTCCCCTTCCTTGGTGCCGGTTCGCTGGTTCTGCTTGTTCTCATCTGACGAGGACTGAGCGTTGCAGAAAGGGAGAGCCTCTTTTTGCATTCTGTGCTGTTCGCCTGTCGTCCATATTGAATACCAGTGGGAGCAGAGCGGGAGAGATGGTGCTCAGCGCAGGCACTGATGATATCCCTTCTCTGCCCTCCTCCAGCCTGGCTGTGTCCGTGAAAATGAATATTCTGCTCTTTGCGCCAGGTCTGCTCTTCCTTCTCCTGTGGCGCTTTGGTCTCCTAGGTGCCATTCCCAAGCTCGCCATCTGTGCAGCCCTGCAGGTAAGGATGAGGAGGTAGCGCAGTCTAGGAACACCAGCTTTGCAGTCGGAAGGGGGCAGCTGTATTCCCTGGTGTCTCCAGTTAAAAGGATTTTGGGGGTATTTGTTTATTTTATTTATTAAAAGCTTTTGTATGCCATCCTGGGACTGCAGGTGGCGCAGTGGTTTAAACTGCTGTGCTGCTGGGCTGGTTGATCGAAAGGTCGCCGGTTCGAATCTGCACAACAGGGTTGTGAGTTCCCGTTGCTCCGTCCCAGCTCCTACCAAACTTGCAGTTCGAAAGCATCCAAATGCAGGTAGATAAAAAGGTGCCACTTTGGTGGGCAGGTAACAGCGTTCCGTGCACTTCGGTGTTTAGTCATGCCGGCCCCAAGACCACGGAGACTGTCTGTGGACAAATGCTGGCTCCCTGGGCTAGGAAACGGAGATGAGCACCACCCCCTAGAGTCAGGCATGACTGGACTTAATGTCAAGGGGAAACCTTTACCTTTTTATGCCATCCTGTTATACAAGATCTCAGGACAGCTTACAATATTTAAAAGGACAATTAAAACAATTTCAGTAATAAAACAGAAAAAAACAATAAACCAAACAGAGTGACTAACCTTAAAAACTATTAGAGTTTAAAATACTGTTTAAATAAAAAAGTTTTGGCCTGTCACCGAAAAGAGTATAAACTTGGTATGGCTTGAAAAGGCTGCTGCTAGTCAGAGCACCCAGTCCTTGGCTGGGAGGTCCAGTGCTTGGACTTCATAGGCAGAAACCGCATCTGCAGAAAGCATACGGCTTGCTTCCTTCCTTCCTTAATTACTACGATGTTTGGTGCAGTGCGGCCCCGTCACACAACTTCCTGGCCTCCCTCCCTTCTTTCTCTGAGCTGTTTAAATTGCTTCACATGATGACTCATCTTGTGATTTAAAGCCATTCATATACATCAGCTGACTCTGAAGTTCAAACCACAGCTTTTCCTCTCTGGAGGTTTGCACGGATGTGGCGAAACCCTTCTTGCATTTATGGTTGACTGTGAACGGCCCTGTTTGTGCAAGGCAGGAGGGTCACTTGTCTAGTCCTCGCCCTGCCTGATGACATCAGAGTTGAGGCAAAGAGCTGACTGTGAGAACTTGGAAAGCCGCATAGCTGTGACCACGCCTCAGTTCCCAAAATCCTTATATCCTGATGATGGTGTTTCCAGTGTGCCAGGTGCTGCAGCTTCAGAAAGTGCCTGGGTTTCCAGCCTTCTGTAAATAGGCAGGCAGAACCTCTGCAAAGGCCCAGAAGTCAAGAGAATCTGGATTGATCTTCTAGTAACTTATGTTGGGGCTTCTGTCCATATGCATCTTTATCCATGTTACCGTGCCAGTTTTGCACTTTAAGCTGCCGGTTTTGTGCATATGGGCAAGTGCACAATACACATGGAATAATGCTCAGTCGCACAAACCAATGCCATTTATTTGTCTGTAGCATTTTATTTCTTAAATTGAGCAGAAATACGATTTATAAGGAAGCGTTCAAGTAAATTGCTTCTCGGGCAAAAGTGGGAGAAGGCAGTTACACGGGCCAAGCTTGGGAAAAGCCTTTTTGGCAAGGGAAAGCCTATGACTGTGTGCACAAAGGCTTCAATTACAGTCCCGTGGCAATGAAGGTTAAGTTGCCAAAAGTAAATCCAGCAGGTCCCTTGAACAGACACTGAGCTGCAACGTAGATCCTCCCAGGCAGGAAACGGGGAAGTTCGAGGTAATAGATTTGGTCGCCAGACCTCATTTCTACCAACAGCTGCTTTGCATCCTGAATGCTGTAGTCTGCAGGTATAGTATCTAAGGAGGGACAGTATTAAGTGTACCTGATCCTGCAGATACATTTGTTGCGCTCTTGCGTTGAGCTAAAAATAATTGAGCACTTCCTGGCTGAATGTACGGCAGGGCACGTAAAACAGTATGGATTTTGATAAGTCTGCCCTCAGGCCTGCATTGCAGTGAGGGAACCCCAGACAATAACCAGATTTCTGCCTTGCGTGGCGTTTGGTGGCGATATTGATCAGGAGTGCCACTGGCCACAGTGGGGCCAGTTGAACCCACATCCGATAGCTTCAGCTTGTACTTGAAGAGAGGGCTTCAAGATATTGGTGTTTCTTGCAGGTGGTTCTCGGGTTGCCCTTCCTGGTGGCAAATCCCGTAGGGTACCTGACCCGTTCCTTTGATCTGGGCCGCCAGTTCCTCTTCGAGTGGACGGTGAATTGGCGATTCTTGCCAGAAGAGATTTTCCAACATCGGGGTTTCCACCTGGCGCTGCTGGTCGCCCACTTGACCGCCTTGGGGCTCTTTGCACTGAACAGGTGGTACAGGTGAGGTGGTACCAATGTGTCTGCGCTTGCGGGAAAAGAATTGCAGAAGGAAAACAAATTGCCAAGGGCCCCCTCTAGCCGCTTGAAAGCTGCTCTCTCCCCTTGAGAGAGTTCTGTTGCACCTAGCTGTGGAATTTCCCCCTAGCTTTCTCAGCACGAGCATGATGCAGTGTGCATCTTGAGAAAGACAGGAAGGAAAGCCCTTCTCTGGAAGCTTCTCAACCCACGTATTTCAGCTTGTGTGATAACCATGTGATTCTGAGATTGAACTTTGTGGGGTCAGGGTTAAAATTCCTTTCCAGGTGGTGGTTGTCCCTGGATGATGACCCAATCTGGACTCTCCCCATGCTGACCATTTGATCATGTGTTGTCGTCATACTGGTGGAAGTCACTGCTTGCACAGAGAGTCAATACGTCGTCGTGTATGAATGCTGGCATTGGACCAAAGAGTGCATAATCAGCATAACCATTAATCTCAGTCATGAGAACAGCTCGCCTCAGTCAGAGGAAGGGTCGGTGTTGCCCAGTATTCTCTTTCTGGTGCAAGTAAACAGATGCTTATTTTGGGGGTGGGAAGGCAGAGCTCTGCCTACTGCTTGTCTCTGGCATCTGCATTTCAGGGAGATGCTGCCTCCACGGTTTTCTTTAGCTGCTGTGGATAATGGGGTGGGTGAATCTACCAGAGTTCTCTTCAGTCATGCGTGCTTAGCCTGTCCCATCCCACTGATTGCTACAATAGCAGTAGTATATGACTACTGAATATCGAGTCATCACTCGATATTCAGTATGACTCGAGCGATTTATTTGACATGAGCGTGAACTGTAGCGAAAACTCAGTTTAGGGCATGGCGTTCTGCAAGTTTGTAGTGCAGGCAGCTCTGACTTCGGTCTTTTACTTCCAAGGAAGGCACAGAGGGGTTGTTAGTATGAACTGGGGAGAATTATTTCCTGCTGCCAGAGATCTGACGAGTCCACACTGTACTGGGGTGAGGGTTGACACCACCCAGAACCCCACCTGTAATTGGAGGCCGCCTTCCATCCTAGAAGCCACTTCCTGGAGGAGGCTGGCAAGGCAGGGGGCATTTAACCATGGATGACAAAGTTCTGCTTCTTGTCTCCCCTCGCGTCCCAGATCTGAGGAGAGAATCCTGTCCCTGCTGAAGAATCCTGTGGAGAGAAAGACCCCAGCCCAGCCCCTCTCCGCCAACGATATCCTTTTGCCCAAGGGGGTGACAGCCCGTTTGGTTTTAAGGGATGGTGTGGGGAGAGCTCGAGGCTGAGCTCTGAGCTTTGTGCAGTGGAACCTTACCTTAACAGATGGCTACAGGTGATCTTCCCCCTCTTCACGTCCAATTTCATTGGTGTTTGCTTCAGCCGCTCCTTGCATTACCAGTTCTATGTCTGGTATTTCCACACCCTCCCCTACCTGCTCTGGTGCACACCTCCCAAGAAGCTTGACCACCTGCTGAAGTACGTACCTGTCCGGGTTAAGGAAAGGGCACGGGGACACAAGCCAAGGGCCCTCTTCCTGTTTCAGAGGATTTATTTAAAACATTTGTGTGCCGCCCAGTTGTGCCGCAGCTCTAGCATAGGATGCCGGCTGTGTGCGTATATTCTTCATAAAATCAACTTTGTGTATCGTATGGAGGGTCGTGTTGTGAGCCGCACTGCAGATTCTACCTACGGGTGTTGTGGTACTTGAGCCAGCCACCTTGGTTCCAGAACCCAGGGTTGTGTTCAGAACTTTCCTTCTTGTGGAGGAAGGGAACCGCTGGATGGAACGACTGATTTATAATATAATATATAGTATATAGGGTCACCTTTCTCCCAGAAATGGCTTTCCAGAATGCTATTCAAAAAGTAAAGTCACGATCACAAACAGAACTTCAGAAGTGGTGGGCAGGGAAATAAGATGTCATACATTATATTTAAAATAACTGAAACATATTAAAATAGTTCAGCAGTCAGATCAGTTATAAAGTTGATAAGAAATCCAGCCAAAAGCTTGGGTGAATACAGCCACTTTCACCTGAAGCCTAAAATAAATATTTTTAAAAAAATGATTCCGAGTGCTTCAAAATAGCAGATCAGAAGCAAAGGTGGAGTTCGGCCCCCTCAAGTATAAAACTCTTAATTCAGCTGCCGTTGTACCACGTAGATAGGTATCTGGTGCTCACTTCATCAACACCTCTTGTAAAAGGTTCCCGGTATTTAGAGAAAGTTCAACCTTCTTACCACTGCATTGACCAATCAGTAGCATGTGTGAGCAGAAAGTAAAGATTCATGGCATCTTATTTAGTTATTAGGCTTTTTCTAGACTGTACCCTTCAGCATATACTCTCTGTAGTTTACAAATAATGATTCTTCAAAGTAAAAAAATGACTTTAAGGATTTTAAGGACATCATTAACGTTTCCTATGATGTCTTAAAGGCTAAGTATTATGAATCTGGTAGTGGTGGGGGATTGATTGATTGCAAATCGTGTGGTCAGAAATATGAAATGCCAGAAGTACAGGCATTGATGCTTCAGTTTGCATGATAATAGGTGAGAAAAGAGAAATGATTTAGAAAGGAGCAGTAAGGCATAAAACTTGCCATGCAAGCTTACAGTCTGGCCTCTGATCTTTATACGTAGCCAGGTTTCTGACAAACTCGAGGACAGAAAATGGTCCTTTGCTAAACCCGTCTTTAGAAATGGAAACAAGCTATCTAAAGCACGGTAGGCAGAAAGCAGAGGTTAGACCTGGAGCCTGTATGTTTTTCTGTAGACATTCCCTGCCCACCGCTGCCCCCTGAAGTGAGGGGAGCGGAAAGCCCCCACACTTGCTTTTTCAGCCCCTGCTGGCTTTTGGAGTGGCTGTGGCCAAAAACTAAGCGCTGGCCAACGGCCTGCTTCTCTCCTCTTCTCCTTGGTTCAGGGTGCTGATCCTGGGTCTGATTGAGCTTTCCTGGAACACGTACCCCTCGACAGTGTACAGCTCGGCTACCCTGCACGTCTGTCATGGCATCATCCTTCTGCAGCTCTGGTACGGGACGGTGCCCTCCTCAACTTCCCAGGAAGAACAGCAGGCTTCCAAAAAGGCCGAGTAGGAACTGAACAAGAACAGCTTCTGACAGTAAGAATCAGAACAAGACGGCCTGGGTTTGGGGTGGAGGCTGCGGTTTTCTGGCCTGAGTTTGGCTCAAGACTGGGTGGGGGAGAAGAGCCCGCTTTCCTGCCAGTGGTGATGTGGAAGCGCCTTCCATAAAACCAGCCGGGACCTGGGTTGAGGCCCCCTGCCTAAGCATTTTGTGCTAAATTTTGCAGCCACAAGTAATGCATTCCCATGGGATGTGACGTTCCAGAAATGTCCGCTTTCGTTTTCAAAGGGCACTTTTAGGCCTTTCAAAATGTGGGTCAGTCTTCAACGTGTTGACCCAGTGGGAAAGTCTCGGCGTGGGTGGAGTGAGGAGAGAGACTGTGTCGAAGGCACAGTGGTTGTGGCATTGGGTTTGCAGCCCTCCCCCGTGGCAAATGTAGCACTGGGCAGATAACGGGTGCAGCCAGAGCAGGCCACAGCCGAGAAGGGGAAATCCTTGCATGCTCAGGAGAACCCCAAAGTTTACAGAAGTACCTAAGGTTCTGGGCTCTGCTTGACAGGGTTGCTTGACAGGTGCAAGATAATATTGTTTCGTGTATGTTTTTAACTGCAGCCAGTGTGGGTCTGTAATTTATTCGTGTTATGTTTTATGTTATTTCATCTATGTAAGCTGTCCTGAGGCTTTCACGATAGGACGGCATATAAATATTCTCTCTATATATACACATAAGTAAGTAAGAGCCACGGTTACCTGGAGGAGACAGTATGTGCTGCGCTAAAGCATTAGTAATGCGCTCTACGTGGGGCTACCCTTGAAGACGGTCCGGATACTTCAGTTGGTTCAAAATAGAGCTGCCAGGCTGCTGATGGGGACTGGGCGTTATGTTCACATGACTCCAGTCCTCCGTCAGCTTCACTGGCTCCCCATTGAAGTCCGGGCCCAATTCAAGGTGTTGGTGATGATCTATAAAGCCCTAAATGGCTTGGGTTCTGGTTACCTGAAGGAGCGCTTACATCCATATATGCCCGGCTGCCCCCTGAGATCAGCGGGAGAGGCCCTTCTCCGGGAACCCTCCATGAAGGAAATTAGGAGGGTGGGTACTCGGAGGGGGGCTTTCTCAGCAGTGGCGCCTAAGTTATGGAATGCGCTCCCCAGAGAGGTCTGCCTGGCATCATCGTTATTTGTTTTTCGGCGCCAGGCAAAGACCTTTTTATTTAAGCAGCATTTTAAATGTTAATATTATTGAATTTTATCTGGCCAGGGCAGCTTATTTTATATTGTATTTTTTTTATTTATGTGGATCTAATTTATTGTTGTAAGCCGCCCCGAGGCTTTGGCGAATGGGGCGGCATAAAAATGTTTTAATAAATAATAAATAAATTAGTCTGACTTCAGAGACTTGCATTAGGTGCATGGAAACAGCCACGCTGTCTCAGCTCAGCTGTTTTAGCCATTTTTTAATGCCCTCTGCTTAATTTGCTAATGCATTCTAGTGCTAGAATTTGGCTATCTTTTCTTTCCAGCACACGAATTCCTCTACACAATATCCCGATCAGGAACCCGACGCAAGACGTGGCAAAGTGCAAGAGGGGGCCCAGAGGGCAAAGGGCAAGCTTTGCCCGCGGGAGTCCACATCCTCCGTCCTGGCATCTCTCGGGTGGCAGGGCTGGGAAGACACCTACCTCGGGCCTCGGCGAGCCATTGGAGCGGACGATACGCAGCAAGAGACATCGCGGCTTTACCTCCGTGTAAGGCAGCGCACGATGTTCGGTACATGGTAAAATCGAGTGTGCTGCAGCCGGGTTGTCTGACCATTCCGCATTCGGCAGGCCGTTCCTAGATTGGGCTGTGTGCCAAAGGACCCGGCTTCCCCTGCCGACCTGAAATCCCTCTGCATCGCACCCTAGTCTGGGGCCTGTGCTGGAGCCTGCTCAGCACTCCCTGCCATACCATTGCCGGTCACGCCACGGGAAGGTTGGGAAACCGCTGTGGCCCTGTGCCTCAGAAGTACGTTTCCGTATTTTGAAGTGCACCCTTTCGGTTCTGGAAGGGCGCATACCGAAGCGGAGACCGGCCTTGGCCAGCTCCAGCAGCCCGTCACGTACACTGTGGCTTAGGGGTTATTCTGAAAAAAGCCGTGGCTGCGACAGACACGGAGCACGAAGACACCACGGGCTCCTCACCAATCCTCTTTATTGGTACCCGAGCAAGCAAAAGCCCAGCCCGCCGCCTCACACGTTGCTTGGGTCGTAGCACAGCATGTTCAGCTTGATGTTCTCATCCCAGTGGCGAAGCAGAAGGAACAGCTGGCGAGCTGCCCCTTTCAGGGCAGCGACATCCACCCCTTCGGGAAGTCGCTGTCCCCGCAGCCAGGCATCCGCCTTGGCCGCCAGCAGCTCCCACTCGACAAAAAACCCCGCGCAGCGGTGCTCCAGCCAGGCCAGGGCCACTGCCGTGGCCCAGCTCGTGCTCTCCAGGTCCGCCCCCTCGGCCTCCAGACCCGCCTCCTGCAAGCTGAGGCTCAGCTCCGAGGCATCTGAGTGCGAGTGCTCGAAGGCCTCTGTCTCAGAGCCACGCCCGCTGTCGGCTTGCGCCCACACGGCAGCGCTCGGCACCTCCGAGCAGGTGCTGCGTGAGTGGAGCGAGCCCGGCTCCCCCGCCCCCTCCGGACTCGCTCCGGCCGCCTGCTCAACACCCTCTGGGGAGGACTGGCTCGGGTCGCCCTTGGCGATCAGCACCCAAGGGGAGGTGCTGGAGGCTGGGCTGAGGCTGGCGCGGTGGGAGGCGTAGGGGGAGGCCCGGCGCAGGCGGTCCAGCGGGATCTGCACGACCTCGGAGAAGTGCTCTGTCAGCTGGAACATGCCCGGAGCCTCCTGCAGGTGCACCTGTGCAGGTGGGAGGGAAGGGGAGGGCGCCTGAGGCTCATGCCAGCGGGAGGCTGCAGGAAGCACCCGTGAAGCGCCTCGCAGGCAATTCAGCAGGCTTGGGCAGTGGCGTGTCCTGTGACTTCTGACCGTTGCGGCTTCGGCGTTTATCCTCCTTCACTGCAGAGCGAAGCGGGGCTGCTCGTGGTCCGGGGTGGCCGAAAGCACACCGGCTGGCCAGCTGGACATGGAGGGTGCCCCCTGCCGGGCCGGGGTGGGGAAGGGGAAGGGAATCCTTACCAGCGGGAGGTAGTCGTGAATGGCGCCGTCCCAGGAGGAGAGCTCACTCTCGGGGGTCAGGCATTGCAGGCGCAAGGCCAGGCCTTGTCCCCTCCGCCGGCCGATGCTGAATCTGCCGAGGCAAAAAGCGACTGGCTGGGAATGTCAGCGTGTAGGAACTGCCCTGCTTGACCAGGCCAAAGCCTGCCTGCTCACGGTGAGCTGCTCTGTGAGCCTTTTTCAAGTGGCGTAAAAAGGCAATAAATGCTAACATTAAGGGTTCTTAGCCTCTTCCAGTCTGAGAGCCAAATCCTATTTTGGAGATGCGGGGGGGGGGGGGGTGCATTCTGCTGGTGGGTGGGAGGATCCAACGCATATTTCATCTTCTAGTTCTAACTGCCAGTAATTAAGCCTTAGGAGAGGCGTTTCAACCCTTCTTAAAATAAAGAGAAATGGTGCAAAGATTGGAACTGGGTGGAGCCATGGGGAATTTGGGGCTGGGCCAGATGGCCAAGTGAGAAATGAAGCTCATCCCACGCCTGTCCATCGTGTCTGGTGCTCGAAGGCCTATCGCCGCTGCCTGTGGCGGTTCCCTTTAGCTACCCGTGGCGGCCGGCCGTTCCAAGACTCCCTCTGCCCGCACTGGGAAGTGCGGAGCGCAGGCCACACTCCTCGGTCTGCCCACATGAACTGAGACGACAGGAGAAGCAGGTGTCTCCCTGGGCAGTGCCTTCTCTTGAGAGCTACCATGTACCCCTGTGAAATCGTGGTTGAGCCTTCGCAGCTTCAGTCTTTTCGCGGGATTTTTCTCCGAGTGAGTCCAAGCCGATCTCCTTACAAGGAAGCCGGCGCCTCACTGTGCGGAGGCTTACTCACAAGAAGATGGTTCCCTCCAAGTTTGGACTTGCTCGGAGAAAACAGTCCCTGCGTGCACGCCCCCGGCCTGCACCTCCCACCCGCACCGCCTTGGCGGCCGTCGCTCATTGCCGGCACGAAATTCGCGGTTTTTCACAATTTGCGGGGGCTCTAGGAACGTAACCCCCACAAATTTGGGGGGACTACTGCATTTGTTACGGGATTGCTCCTGCATACCATATTACGAGGGGCACAGGGCAGGGCTGACCCCTCCGAGTGCCCAGCCTTCCCAGGTGGCCTCTAGTCAGAGCAGTGGGAGTTGCACTCCGATCCGGGAGTTGCACCTGCAGGTCCCCAACTGGGGAAGGCCAGCTGTTGGCCCAGTTGTCTCCTTCAGCCATGCTGTGCTTGTGCTGGGCTTAAATTTGCTGCTATTCCCATTGATTAAACCACCTTCTTTAGAAAAACCAAAGCGCCCTCTTCTGTATTTACTATCCCAGCCCTCCATGAAGCACTTCTCTGCTGTCATCTCTGCTCTGTCCACCTCACTTAGGAGTGTTAAGGGAGTTCAGGAGTGTATTTCGCACATCGTTGGGGCCAAAATACTCAAACGGGCTGCGGCAGGCAGTGGGAGCACCCAGGTTCTGTGTTGATGCTCTTGGCATTGTGTGATCTTAATGGCTGGAGACCTCCCAGTGACGATCAAAGAATGATCTTCCTGCGGATTATCATATCTCCCCTCCTGGCCTTCCCCCTCCTCTAACGGCACCCTTAGAAGAGTCACCTGGAGCCTACAAAGTTCTCCATCAGCTTCTGAGAGCCTGCAGAGATAGGAGAAGGACTGGAATTGGCACCTAGAACAGCAAAAAGGAGATTAGCTAGAAGCGGAGGAACAGCCGACAGAGGCCATGCCCAGGCCGCTGCCTTTCCATAAAGCTTGCTAAGACTGCAGCTTCACGTTGCTGCTCTGAGAAAGGCCTCCCGGTTGCATATTCAGTGCCCTGCATGGCACAGCGCTTCGTTCTCCTCCTCCGTCTGGCAAAAGTTGAATATTTTACACTAGGTAAGCTTAGATATATTTTTACACATGGACAGTGGTATGTAAAACTATCAAGTAAAATCATACACAAAGAGCTTGATACCTAACTGCTCTTGGTGCAGAATCTGGCTTAGTTTGCCACTGAGTTTTTCCTCTGTTTTAGCACAGGGTGTAACAGCTCTGGGCTTGCTTATCTAGAACCTTCACATTTCCCAAACTCCACTCTGAGTAAGACTTACCATCAAGATAGTTTTGCCTTGCTTGGGTGGCAGAAGATGTATTATCTGGAGAAGGAAGAATCTCTTCTCGTTCTAGAAAGCAAGGAAAAATACAGATGGTACAACTAACACAGCTGCAGGGAGTGGAGGACCCACCACAATAAACCATGCAAAACTAAGGCAGACCCTCGCAGACCATAAAGTCAGAAAATGCACCGCAAATCAGAAGCTGGAAGGTGCGCAAAGTTCACACTAATCCTAGAGAGAATTTACTAAAGCAAGCATAGCAGGGAATGGTGATACTCATATTTTGAGAAGAGTGTGAAGGGAACCTCTGTGAATGACCAGAACCAATATGACTTGTCTCTGGAAAGAAGTGCTATGCTGAACTGGATCATTGGGGAGAAGGGATGCAGGACTGGACCCTGGCAGCATCCTGTAGATTAGAGCAGCTTCCTAAACACTTGCTTTATCTGGGGAGATGGTGCCAAACAAAGTGCCTGATCAATTATTCCCCTCATTAGTAAGTCAGAATTTCCAAGCACTCAAATGACTAAGTGCAGTTGCTTGGAAGCAGAGCTCTTTTTTTGCTCCAGAAAAAAAGGGCATGTGCCAAAGAGACATGATTTTTCCCCCCAGTACCACAGCAGGAAGAGGCTCCTACATGTGGGTCAGCGCTCTGGATGGGTTAATCTTTCCTATCCGTAGGGGCCTTCCTTACTCCCTTAAGCAGCCTTCCTACCAGAGGGGGAAATCCATTGGCTCCTTTTATCTTTTCCCCTGTAGGGGAAAAGCTCTGGGGTAGGGTGGAAGCCGAAGATTTTTTGCAAACAAGTGGCCCACAAAGGAAGTTTTAAGTCCCCTCCCCCAGCTTTATAAAATTGTAAAAAGTCAGGAGATGGTTTCCCATCTTCACGTATCATTTGGCTCTATCAAGCGTATTTGTCTATGGAAATCATACTGCTTTCACCTGCTTTGTTGGATGGTGCCCATGATGGCGGTGCCAGGTGTGTTACGTGTCCCTCTCCAGCTTACCCACACAACTCTGGACAGGCTTGCCAAATTTGCCAAGATCAGCTTTGTCAGCAGGCCTAACTCCGCCCTCATGTCCATTAAGGCTGGGACAAGGCTGCTATTTCATCTGCTGCTCGTGCATCAAACAGTGGGTAGAGCACGGTCAAAACCATCATCAGACACTGTCTGTCTGATGAACAGACATCCAATACCCCAGTTCACCTTCCCTCAGCATTTGCATCAGAGAAATAGCCTTGCGGCACCCTTGTAAATGTGACGTGCTGTGCGAATACGCCAACGGCATTGTGGATGCAGGCTCTCCGATCACTGCGGGTAGGTTTGTTCACTGCAGGTATGCGATGGGAGTCGGGGATTTGACAAAAGAGCATAATGCTCCCTTAATGTGTACAGATGTTCTTCATGAAACCTATGCTCTTATCATGGGCACCACGGCAGGGCACTATCAGGCTTCTTGTGTGCTGACCAACATTTTTAAAGTGGAAGCCACAGAGATGGACCCAACCAGGGTATGTTGCTGCAATGGCGAACAAGCTACCCACAACCCAAACCAGCCCATGATGCAGCTTGCATCTGAAAAATGTTGGCCGGCATGCCATGGGCAAATTAACCTATGGTGGTTTATTGCTACATATGAATCAAGGAAAACAGCGTTCAGACTGACAGGAGAATGAGGCAGAGAAATCTGAGGGTAGCTGGAGTTAGCTGACCTGTGGTGTGACCTTTGTTTTGGGCTGCAGTAATTGCTCTCTGGGAATTTGATGCAAGAGTACCTATTTGTTTCTACCATCTGACAGTAAAATAATAAAGATACACAATTCTCCAGTGCTCCTCTGTGCAAAGGATCTGGAACTTTGCTTCCTCGCTCCCTCTGTATGTGTAGTGCAGGCAAGGGGTTCCAGTTAGACAGATGAAATGCAACTGGTACCTGCCGAAACGGGAGCTTCATCGAGGTCCTCTGAGTCCTGTCTCTGTCCCAGAGCTGCCGAGTGACTACGCTGATGACCGCTGCCTGAATGGGACCCCTGCTGGTAGCTATTTGACCCCTCTAAAAGAAAACACATCCCGTCTCAGGGCATTTGGATACCTGCCTGGTCAACTTCCTGCAAGTTTAGTTGCAGGACAGTATTGCTTTCTCCACATGAAGCTCACTCCATCTTATTGTACTGGCAGGAAAAACTACACCAGAAACCTACATGAATTCACGGCTGCACCTGCAAATTTCCCCCCTTCAACCAGAGACCGAGTCAAGTTGAGGCACTGAAGTGCAATACATCTTGTTTCCCCTAATTACCTGACCATGCCTGAAATGTATTGCCTGAAATTGCTGGAACAATTTCTTAGAGAGGCAGGGTGGGGTGCAGCACAGGGTCTGCAAACAATCTGGGCTTTTCTCAGCACTTGTTAGCGAGAGAGAAGCAACCGGTTTTATTCCGGATGCTGCAGCACAGAAGCTATTTTGGGACTTGTGTGAGGCCTGTGCTGTCTAGTAACCTTCCTGCTTCATCTGTTAGCCAAAATATTATACCAAGAAGAAAAGGCACCAGTATTCTTTAACAAAATGTTATTTGGCCAAATATGGTGTTAAAGAGAAGGAAATAAAAGGCTTAATGCTGTACTGGGTCCTTTATTACAAAACAGTTTTGCAAATAATAAAACTCTTGAGGGTACAATCCTATGCCTGTTTAGACATAAAAAGTCCCAATACCAGCAGCATGTCCCGGCAAGTATGGACATGTTGGAAGTTTTAGGGCTTTTGGGGGAGGGGTCCAATTCGGCCTAGGATTGTGCCTTTCTGGGAGAAATTCTATGACGTTCAATACAAGGTCAGCGAAATGCACTTCAGCACCAAGTCTTCACCAATGGCCTAGCGACGTAAATCAACGGAGCTTGGAAACCCTTCTCTTCAAACACCTGTTGTAAACAACCATCCTGAATAGACCATTATTTAACATGGTGCCTAGTAAAATTTTTCCAAAGTCAATGTTATGCTTTGGCTTTGAGTTCAGTGTGCAAGAGTGGAGCAGAAAGAGGCGCTTGTATGAATCATGGAAGCTGTATTAATTGCTTTTGGATAGCTAGTACTGTCCCCCACCAAAAACAAGGGCCACACCAAATTCCAAGCATTACAAGAAGGAAGCGTGAAACGTTACTATTGCGCAGCGTGTTTCAGGACTCTCAGAATTACAGAAGGAGAAGCATGGAAACAAAACGAGTCAGAAGGGATCTCCCGGGTCATCTAGTCTGACCGCGGTTCCAGCCAGCGCCACACGTGTAATCCCTGACATGTGGTTGTCTAGGGGCAGCCAATGTGATCTCAGCAATCGTGATAGAATTTCTCACCAAAGCTGAGCAAAAGAGGCTTAAAGAATCCAAGGGACTGGTGTTTGCACCTACAAAGTAAGGTCACGAGCAGCTACCTGTGTGGACCTACCTTTGCGCCGAACCTCAAGGGCTGAGGGCAGCATTTCCTGTGTGGAAGAATCCACAGGCACAATGGATGTATAAATGGACGGTGTGTGGCAGGCCTTGCTGGCCTGGACAGCCTTAAGGCGGAACCTGCGTGAGAAACCTGCACAGGAGGTGGGAGACTGGATCAATTCATGTACCTGGCATCCTTTTAATCCTACCTCCCCCTCAACGAGTGCTCAAGAAAATTTCCAATAAAACTGTAAAAATAATACAATGCAACATTTAAAAAACCCCCACTACATTAAAACAGATTAAAGACATCTTGGAGTACAACAGAACAGAGGAGAGCTCTAAAAACGCCGTGATACTGCATAATTTTTGCCAGCTTTACCATAATGGTGAAGAAGAGGAAAGTCAGAACCTCCCCGGAGAGCTGCTCTGCAACAGGGGTGTTGCTGCTGCAGCACAAGCACCCCGGTCTCAGCTACCTACTAATTTGGTGACTTTCCCATCTGTTAGGAGGGGACAGGACACAAACAGGGCTTCAAATGAAGTGAACCAGCTTTGTGCTGGTTCTTAGAGGAGGAGGTGGTCTTTCAAATACTGTGGCCCCAAACTCTTTAAGGGCTTTACAGGTTAGATACGGCACCCTGACCTTTGCTCAGAAACAGAAAGCCAGGGAAACTGAGTTAATGTTGTCCTGAAAAATCCAATTTTAGTCTAATGATTGTATTTTTCACTAGCTAAAACAATGGCTGGTTTGTAGCGTTGTATACGTTGCAAATTCAGCCACAGAGTCTCAGACCTCTTATCTTTGTTTCTTTAAACATGCTTGCTTTTCCCTCTGGCTTCAGTGATTAGCTTTAGCACCTCCAAGTTCAGCCCACCTAAATTTAGTTAATTTGCATCATTACTTTCAGGGATGGAATTTAGCGATTCTTACTACAGATTTCAGATTTTTTCCAGCACGGCCTTTGCACCAGAAACTGGCAACCGAAGATCACAGGACCACGTTCAGACACTTGGACGCCACCATAAGTGGCCCGTCAAGTGGTCGACTTGTGCCACTGAATGCCGTTGCCAGAGCACGCGGGCAGGAGGTTGCTGCGGCTCTCCTGTTCCACTTGGGGGCTCCTGTACGAGCCCTGCTGGCCACTGCAGGAGGAGAAGGCTGGGCATGAGAGGCCCCTGGGCCTTCCTGCATGCTTAGCCAGAGATGCGGGAAGGCTAGGAAGGCGGTGATAGAACAACTCGCTCACTGTCTGCCTTGCAGGGTGCAAAGGAGGCTAATTCTGTGCACCCCACAGCTCTTTAAAGCAGCCCCCCTGCAAACCATCGTTGACCAGAACTGTGCACAGAGCTGCAGACCACGGAAGGGCGGACTCACCATATTCCAGTTCGGCTTCTCTCAGGGCCACATTCTCGTTATCCCGGATGACAGAGCCGGCCGTCAGGCGGTGAAGCAGCTTATCCCAGCCCTTGCTTTGCTGATGCTGCTTGGGGGGTTCCTCTTTGGCTTGGCTGTCTTTGGCAGGGAGCAGAGAATCCAGGGCAACCGTCACTTCCCAGGAGACCGGCTTGCCTGCACTGAGTGCATGGATCACGACTTGGCACCGAAGAGGCGACCAGGCGCCGCTTTGACATTCTGCCTGCTCTGTGGCCGGCGATGGGCTGAACAGGTATGGGGGCTCCAGAAGGGTGTCCCAGTCCAAGTGGGCAGGTGACAACAGGTTGCCTAGGAGAATGAGACATGGGAATGCATGTGCAAGGGAGAGGTCTGTCTTTGCAGCAGGGCAGACCCAGGATCAAAAATGCCTCTACAAGTTTGTAAGTATAGAAACGTAAAAACAGAGCGAGCCAGAAGGGGCCTCCTGGGCCATCTAGTCTGACCCCGGCTCCAGCCGGCTCCACTCATGACGTGCCCACCATGTGCATGTCCAGCCTAGCCTTGAAGACTCTCCCTGATGGGGCTTCAACCACCTCCCGTGGAAGCCCGTTCCATGCCCTCAGGGTCCTAACCATCAGCAAGCACTTCCTATCCTACACTGTTGCTTGCTCCCAGCACCCAGTTCTCAGGATCTGACAATCAGTTACCACAAACACAGCAGGATCCAAGAGACTGCAGGTGCCTGTGACGATCATTTAGGGCATTGTGGCCACTGGTAAACGCAGTACAGAAGGCTTCCAGCCCGGAGCCTTGGCTGCAATCCTAAACAGTGGGGAGATTTTAGAAGCTCAGTTCTGGTCCCAGCACGAGCAGAAAAGGTGCACTGTTCCCTGTCCACAGAGACAGTAGTTGTTGCACAATGGAAGGCAGCTGGGTGCTTAGGTAGCATGGCCACCTGATCCGGGGTTAGTCTGGCTCTCCCTGGCTCTAATCTTGGCAAGCACCCTCCCCAGATTGGAGAGGGGGCCACTCTGTCCCGACAGGCGACCCTCTCCATGTTAGGGGATACCTGGGGCCTTGGGTCTTCCTGGGCAGACCATGCCAGCGCTCCACAGTGCTGGCTAGCATTGCTTTGTGAACCAAGCCCCTGCCGTGGTTCTGGAGAGGAGCACTGGGTCTGCGCTGGCCCAGGCAACTGCCCAGTCGGGGGTGGGGGTGGAGGAGAACAATCGAACAACAGTGTCACTTGTTGTTAAAAATGTGTCCCAGGAACGCACTCTCTCTTTGGAGCAGACTGGACACAACTGAAAGGAAGTTACTCTTCTCAAAGTTCCCGTCCTCCACGGATGGAGCATGATGCTCTGTGTCCACCACATTTGCAAGCGTTAGCCCTTCTGGCTTTCTTGCTTCCAGACGGAGGAGGACTTGGCTCCTTCTCTTCACCCAGTGTGTTCCTACCATGTCTTTTCCCCACATCACTCACCGGAATCGGCGGTGCTCTTGCGCAGCTTCTGAAACTCAGGCCCGATCTCATCCAGCTTCCCTTCCAGAGACCGGTTGCGCTTCTGGGACACCTTCTCCAGGGCACGGCGCAGCCGATGGGCATCCAGCTCACCGTGCGGGGAGGAGAAACTCCGTCCAGACAGAGCAGCTCGGGCCAGGACTTTTTTCCTTCGTGTCAGCTCCTCAGAGCTCAAGGCTGCGGAGGCCTTAAGGAAAGAGGCATGAGGGTTAGGGCTGGGAAAGCTCCAGGGAAGCCCCCCGCCCCCCCAAAAAAGATCCGGTCCCGGGTCTATTGCATCTCTCTCTCTCTCTCTCTCTCTCTCTCTCTCTCTCTCTCTCTCTCTCTCACACACACACACACACACACACACACACACACACACACACACACACACAAGTACTCAGAGATGGTTAAGAAGCTTTGATTATGGGTTCTGGGGGCTTCTTATGGGAAGTTTACATTTTCCAACACAGAATTTATCTGAATGTTTACTACCAGTTGGAACCCAGATCCATTTTAAGCCTCATGTCAGAAAATAAGAAGAGGCTGGAGTTAAACTTTGCAAACATGCAAAAAGGTCTCCAGCACAGGCTTCCACCCACTCATGGAAATGGAAATGGGGGGGGGGCACTTGGTCATGGCTGGATTCATGCAACCCAGACAAGAAGGTTGCCCCAGTGCCGTTGACTTCTAGGCTCTTCTGCTAGTCCCTCTCTGGCAAGAAGCTGACACAATAAAAAGGCACTTGCCCAAATTCTAGAAATACTGATTGGAGCATTCTTTGGAAGTGTACGGGTCAAACTGAGGGTGAGGGAGCAGGCTTAGCATCTGGATTGTGAGCACGCTTTTTGCTGCCTGCTCTGATCTGCCTTCTTGGCCACCACCTAACTGCAAACGCTCCCCGACTGTACAGCAACTGAGCTCAGCCCTACCTTAGGACCAGCACCGGGCTGAGTCTGGGGGATCGGTGCAGACTTGGCGGAGGAGCTGCAGAGCGAGACACTCTTTTGGCCCTGCTGAGAGCTGCCTTCAAGGACCTGGGCTAGGGAGCCTCCTTCCGGAGGGACATCCCTGGACCCAGTGGACTCGCTGCTGGTAGAGCTGTGGGAGAGCAAGCCCTGGCTCTGGTCGGTACTGACTGAGCAGTGCGTGAGCACATACTGTTCCTGGATGTAGGAGGGCCGGTAAATCCGCTTCCAGATGTCTCCTCCTGACACAGGATCCCCACCTGCCATGGAAGAGGATTTGCAGTGACTGGCATGAAGAAATACTGAGCAGACGCTGCAACTCAAAATGTCAAGGTGTGAAGCCGGGAGCTTTGCCAAACGTTCTGATCCCACAGGACCTTTTAATTAACTTTCATCGTTTAGAAAGGCCACGTTACTGTTCAGTGGATCTGGAACAAAGCTTGCACGTTCCCAACTTGTTCCCTGACCAGTCCGAGAAGTTACTTGCTTTCTCAACCGAGTGCTTTCCAGATGTGTTGGACGTCAACTCCTCTCACCTGCATCCAGCATGACCACAAGGTGTGTTGACTGGGGACGATGGGAATGGTAGCCCAACATCTCTGGAGGGCATTACGTAGGGGAAGACTTCAGAGGAATGCTGCCCCACCCCCTCTGGCCTTACTCACTCTTCAAAGATTCCTCAGTGCACCCGGCTGAGAACTCCAGGGATATCTCATGCGAGATTTCATGAAGAGCTCTGCAGAGATCTTGACTTTCCACAGGGTGTGGATGGATTCCTTCCTCTTCTAGTGCGTCATCCTGGGATGGAAACACCGAACCAGTGGAACCCCGAGAGAGACTCTGGAACATCTGTTCTCTGCCCTGGAGCAATATAAAGAGAAAACAACCAGTAAGGGTAAAATGCTGCTAGTGTGGAAACTGTCTCTGTCTCGAGGGGCAGAAGGAATGCCCACGCATCAGCATCTTGCTGGTACGTTTTAACAAGGCAAATTGGCTGTTAATGAAAAGCAGGCCTCCTTCTTCTCCTGGAAAGGTGCTCTTTAAGGGAAAGGTGCTCAACTGTTGCTTTCTTGTCCCGGAAGCTGGCGATGTGGTAAAGGGTGCAGTAGCTGATGAGCCGGTCTCCAGGATACAGGGCTGCGATCTCATTGGGCGACAGCAGGGCCTCCATGGTGTCGGGCACATACCAGTCTATCGTGATGTCACTCACAGCAGGCTCAATGGCTTTCTTCAAAGACTTCATCAGCTGGGAAGAAAGCAGAAATATTTGGCTCTGGCATTTAGGAGCTCATCACCATGTTCTTAGTTATTTAGCAAGATAGGCTGCACTCCCTGCCCGTTGGGAAACACCTGAAGCATTTGGGGCAGCTGTTAAGGGTGATTTCAGCTGGAGGGCTTCTAATGCTATTGATCAAAAGATATTGTGCAGCTATTTCACTTCCCCTCCTTAGTGGATTCTCCATGGTAGGAACAAAGATGGGGAAATGATGGGGAAACATGAATTTACAGACAGATACTTGGACCCGTTAAAATTTTGTGAATGAGGCAGGGCTATTTCCTGTTGAAAGCCTCATCTGGAAGCTGTTGTAATATGGAGGCACAATAGCAAAACAATTCCCACGGATCCAGATGACCCGAGAAGCTGGGTGAAGCATGGAGACCTTCGAACATGCTGCCGAGCCTCTCCGTGCTTTTGGGACACCAAAGGTACCACATGGAAATGCCATGACTGGGTCTGGACTACACAACCGACCAAAACAGGTAAGAAATAGCCATGGCTCCTTGTGATGTGCAGAGAGCAAGTCCTTCTCTACCCTGAGAGTTATGTGGAAACTGTCCAGAGTTGGTTGGTGTGACATGTCAAGCCAGGCAAAGAATGATTTACGGGAGCAGAACTTGGAAATCCTTGTGTTGGCAAAGCATTCCTTTGGAAGTCCTCAACAACTTCACACAGGCATCTCACAACAAATTTTTGGCTGTGGCTGGCTGATTAAAGCGGGGAATTGCAACCAAATGCGAGGAAGTTCACCTTCTCAAATGAATTCATCTCAACTTCAAACATTATTTGCAAATGCACACACCCAACCAAGAGTAGATGGCAACAAGGATTGCTTTCCTTAATCACAGCACACCTTCATTCAGCCTTGCCTCTCAGCCGCTGCACCTCCTCGAGTGGAACAGGGAGCTGAGGAAGGGATCATGCGGGCTTTGTTTGGTGTGAGAAACCAGTATCAATAGATGAGGAACAGGCCAGGGCATTTTAGACGTTGCGTGGTGATGATCGGAATAAAAGGAAATGTGATGTGTAAAATATGCAGTACAGATTGAGTCAGGTTAAGCTTACTAAAAGCAACCTGGGGTGCAAAACAGAGTGTTCCCACCACATAGGAAATTACAAAACCCCTACAGTATTGATAGCTTTTGGTCTGGATGTTCAGATCAGCGCAATGTATATGAAGACGTAGAAAAGTGAGGAGAAAGGTACTTTGTGCACCCTTTATAGCCAGTGCACACCTGTGTATTACCTGTGCTTTGCACCTGATGCTGGCATGGCATAACTACTGAGACAAACTGACATCCGTGCTTCTGACCCTACTAGTGAAATATTGGCACCAAAGAAGAAGACATACCTTGGGCTGCAGCCTTTCACCTGGGCTTAGGAATTCAGCCCGGCCTCTGCTCACCTTTGCCAAACCCTTCAGGAGCCTTTCGCATGCACCAGAGCCCAGGCCAAAGGTGAAACACCTGTTGGAAAGAAGTTTCTGTCCTTCAGAGACATGGTTTGGGGCCTGTTCCCAGAACCACCCGGCATGATTCCATGGGGTTGCTTCCCATTCCCAGTTTGAATGGGCCATGTCCCATGAAGCTACCTGCAGCACTTACAAACAGGCAGAATGCTTTTACAGTTTATATTTCCTCTGTCTTTACAAAAGCTATGAGATCTGCTGCTGGAAACTGAAGACTGAGAGGCAAAGACGTGCTCTTGGCCAACGAACCAAAGGCTCAGAGGCTCAGATTTCACTGTAAGGACCGGTCTTCTCCAACCTGGCATCCTCCAGATGAAATAGACTACAACAATTGTTTTCAGCCAGCCAGTGGCGATGCTGGTGGGGAAGGAAGGGAGTTGTGCTCTAACTCATCTGGAAGCCACAAGGTGGAAAAAGGGGGTAAGGGTAGATTTGACATTTTAACAGGAGTGGAAATAGTTTGCATGTGTCCTCCATGGCATTAAGTGCAAAGGTTTCTTTTTTCCTGCCCCGTGGCAAGCTCTGCAAGCACTGGTGCGCAGAATGGATGTTTCCAAAAGAGGAAATTCAGCTGTATCCACTGGCTAGTGTCTGCAACACCCCACAAAATCCTCAGAGCATTTTTGCAACTCATGAAGTTCAGGCTCTTTCCTTAGTGAAGTGAAAGATGAGCAGCCATACGTGTAAATGCATAGTCAAGGATTATGGGGGTTGCACTCCAAAACCAGGCTGGATGCAGTGCTGGGTGGCACCCATCGCTTCAGCCCATGCTTGAGTCAGCTGAAACAATGGGCGCTCCTCAGTTGCCCACCCCCCAGCCCAGCCCATAGCCCAGCACCATGGCCAAGCATCTGCGAGGTTGGTGCGGTGTTCCTGCCTTTCCTCAGAACACCTGCAGGAGACCTGAAGGGGGCCAGAGGGGGTTCGTCACCTGGCAGGTATATCACGGACCCTGCGGCAAACAAGCCGCTCTGCATAGCTTTCTCCACTGGCAATGTGAGGATATTGGTGCTGGCCAGTCTTCAAAGGTGGCGCCAAGATTACATGGACAGCTGGAAATGCGATTTAAAAGCTAAGTGGCACCGACTTTTGGCCTCAAGAGCTGTTAAAGGCGCAGGGGTGCTCTTCGTAAAAGCCAGGCCAGTCTAGCACTGTCCGACGGACTGGATGGCCCTAGCTCTCCAGGACTGTATATCCGGAGAGTTTTGTCCTGTGCAGGGCATAGACAGGGCCTTGCTTATCCGCGGTTAGAATTAGAGCCCCACAAGAGAAAAGGCCCGTGTAGGCACCGGTTCACACCTGACACTGCTTGCCTGCCTCCTGACCAGCTCAATGACCTTGCCTGTGTTACCAACGCTGGCATTCGTGAAGAGGAAGAGCTGCCGGGGGAACCCACGGTGAAGCGGCTGCCCCAGCATCCAGGCCAGAGCAGCGAGGAGATTGGTCCCACCCATGTCGGCCCGAAGTCTCTGGATGTATTCGCAGGCCAGCCGGAGGGTCTCCTGCAGACATGAGCAGATTGGATACGGAATAAGTCGACTTCCCAGCAGCCCTGTGTGGTTCCCTGTCGTCATGCTGAGCATGACGGGGCGGGGAGGTCCCGAAAGGGCAGCCGAGGCTCCTAAACCTTACGGCAGATCTCCTCATGATTAAGAAGAAAGCCAACAGAATTGGTTGGTTGATATGGACTTAAATGGGTCCCGTATTCCTCCTTGGGGACAGTCAAGATGAGCACCTGCGCTTCAAAATACGCTTAGTGTTCCACTGCTGCCTCTGAGTAGTAGCAGGCACTCAGCCTGATTTTTGTATTTTTAATTTATTATTTATATTTTTGATTTATATTATAATTATTTTAGCTTGAGTGTTGTAAGCCGCCCCGAGGCTTCGGCGAATGGGGCGGCATAAAATTGTTTTAATAAATAAATAAATAAATAAATAAAATAAGGACAGCTAACCGTGGGGTTAATTAACCCCTGCCAAGCCACAGGCTGCCATCATTCTGAACACGCGACGTTTCGCTGGTTCACACAGAGTTGGCTCCTTGGGTGCCAAACGCAGACAAACTTGCCGCATATTTCCTTTGGGTGGTTTAATTCATAATTAACCTACGGCGTCTGGGTTCAGACATCATGGTACAACCTCCAGTCAAGCCAGCTGGAGGTTGCATATTCAAAGTGGATGCGTATTCAAGATCTATATTTGCCCACCCAGGCAATATTTTAAAAAATCTTTCTAAATCCCACTTGAAAAAGGGAGCTTTACTTCAATGACTGTTGTGTCCTTCCTCCCAGGGTTGTTGTAAACATAAAATGGAAAGGAGGGAAGTTATATAAGCCATCTTAGGTTTCTTGTGAAAGGAAAAAGGGTGGGATATAAATATAATAATAAACTATACTCCAGTAAATGAGGATACTTACACTTTTGCATGTTTCCAAGGTGGTAGAATCCCAGGAAAAGTGCAAAAGTGAGAGTCAGTGATACGCCACCCCCTTCGCAAGGGCTAAACTCACTTGTGCCTTTGGTTGCATTTGACAGTTCACATTTTGACAGCTGTCAGGTATAACCCAAAAGAAAAATAAATGTACTGGCTGCCTTTGGGGGGCAATGCCAAGAATGGGTACCTGCGGGAATTTTGCAGCAAGCACCCCCTGCCCATTGTCCACCAAAGGTTCCCATTCCTATGCTACACAACTATAAATGTCCACAAGTGTAGGTAATTTTTTTAAAAAAATCTTGTTGCAGATATTTGCAAAAAAAAAAAAAAAGAGGGGTATTATTTTTGAAAATGTATGGCTACCACAGGCAGCCCAGGCTGCTCCTGGCACACTCTGAAGGACAGTCTGTAGCTGTCAAAAGAGGGATTGTGAAAGCTGGCTGTCAAAAGGGGGGAAAGGGGGAGGACAGTGTGGTGAGACCAGAATGGCTCCTGCTTGCAATGAGGAGCAGGGGGCACCCTTGGCCTGCCACCGAGTCCCTGGGGCACAGCAGGAGGACCGTGTGGGGTGGAGTCCGAGGGGTGGCTTCTTTGTTCAGCTGTTGCTCGTTGAAGAAGCAAGTTGCTAGCCTGTCTGGCTAGGGAGGCAGGCTACTTAGGTGGGCCAGCAACAACCGGGATAATTTCGGGAGCAGAGAGGAGGGCTGCAGCTGAGCAGGCGTTCCAAGGAATCGTTAGACAGACGCTCTGTGCCCTGCGTGCTTCCTTACTCTAGCCTATCCCTGGCAAAATAGCATGTGCAAAGCAAAGCAATCTTTGCCAGTTTGCATCATACGGAATGCCTCAGAAGTCAACTCTTCTCAGCACAGGATTTAGGCTACTTGGGCCCAGGACTTTCTGCTGATAAGACACTGTCTTCCAGGAGCAGAATCAGGTCAGCAGCACCGGACGTCTCCACGGCATCCCCGCAATCTCACGGAATTCTAATCAGGACCCAGCCATGGGCCAAGGGGGCTGTGCGAGAAGCATCAGTGGGCAGGTGCTCACACTATTGCAGGGCTTGCTTGAGGGGAAGATGGGCTTGATGTTGGAGCCAAACCCAGCAACGTTCAGCAAGCTTCCCGAAGGAAGGCTCTTCACAGCCACCAGCAGAGCATCCTGAGGAAGAAGAGAGAAAGCCAAAGAGCAAGAGGGAGAGGGAGAGAGGAGAGAAACAGTCTATGAACAGGCCAAACCCAAATCCAAACTACCTCTTTGCTGTAGGGCAAAGTTGCCTGTCAACATTGGGCTAGTCACGATCCCTGTCATGCCAAGTTCCTCTCAGTCTAGGAATGCCATTTCCCATATTAACTCTCCAGCTCCTGACATCTTATCAATTCATGTCCTTCTTTTCCTCGGGTTCCACACCTGTTTCCTCTCCCCAGACAACTGTCACCAGCTTCTTTCATGACGTTTCATGCCCTCCCCTAACACCCCCAAATTCCAAAGTTTCATAGAAGCAGGTATTGTTCATAAGCATGCTGGGGGGGGGCACTTATTTCACCAAAATTAAATGAGTTGCAATTTATTTACTGCAGGAGACATGAAGACGCAATGCTTCAATTGCGAGTCTCTTGCAAGTTGCCTGTACACAAGCCACAATATTTTACTGTTGGGAAAGTGCAAAACAGTGAGTTTCTTTCTACCTACTATATCACCTAAATGTGATTTGTGTGTGTGTGAAAAATGGAGAAATAAATATGCATTTTCAGACATTCATACAACTTTTGTCAACATTAATACAAAATATTGATATTAATCACATCTGCGTAGTTTCTTGTGAGATACAGTTTTGGTGCATTCCCTTTTCCTTCTGATAACTAAAAATTTTACATTCAATAAAACATAAAAACAGGATAGTGAAACTGAGAATACCTTTTCATATGCAAGGTGACACAGAGCACAATTATCCACAATTACTCACTTCTTTAGTAAATTAAACAGTGTATATTAATTAATAACTTCTGTCTGAGCTATCATACTCTATCCCTTTGCGAACACTCTCAAATCCTCCTTTTCCTTTTGAATGAACTTTGACTGGCCTTTATTTTATTTATCTCAGTTCAATCTTTCTCCTCTGCACTCAGGTTTCTGTCTGCTTCTATCTCTCACACCTTGACAATTTTAGGTTTTGACTCTCCCCCATTGCAACTATGTCTTCCAGGTATTCCACTCCCTTCCCTTCCCTTTTGAATCTTAGATAGTGCCCTGAAAATTATCTGGGATTCTAATGAGAAGGCTGCCTCTTCAGATGCAGACTGCCCACAACTGACCACAGCTTCAGACTGGCTGAAAAGTATCTATTTCCCTCTCATTACACCCTTCCAATCTCACCTTACTCATTTTACCCCCTGCTCTTCTGAAACTTACCAACATTAAAGGAACACACACACAACACTTTAAATCATTACAATCCTAGCACCCATTCAGTTTTCACTGAGCAGCAAAAATCTTTTGGAAGGATATTAAATATTATAAGAGGAATACTCTTCCCAAGTCTTCTGAAGAACAGCCACATGGGAAAGCTACTGCCTGGCTCTTCTAAGAGTGACTGAGTATTTCATCTGACCATTTCTCTTGAGCTTTTTCCATGTTTCAAAAGAGAATGACGGCATTCATCTTCAGTGGTAGTTTTTTGGTGATAGGCAAAACCATAAAGAGCTGACCTACCTGAGCTCCTTATAAGAGCCATGCTGCAGACTTCAGCCTGCCTCGATTTCACCAGTCAATCCCTTGTGTTCTTTTCCTGGCTCAGGCTTCCAAGGAAACCTGTTCCTTTGTCCCCTCTTAGGGAAAGGGTTACAGCTCCTACCCCAGGTTCAGCCGCTGTCATATCCAGGTAGGGCTGGGAAAGACTACTCTGAAAACGGGGAGAGGCACTGCCAGAGCCTCCAAGGAAAACCTCCTTTTACATGCACTTTCCCTGCCCCATCCTGTGCTGATGGCCTGCCAAACAGATGCTTTGCCAGGCAGGAAGAGATCCCGTTCTCCACGGAAAGGCTGTGAGGAGGGCTCCTGGTGTGTCCTTTCCCCTGGAGAATGGGAGGCTGGGTCCCGTCACCATACTGCTGACGACTGCTGCAGTGGGGGGGCACTTGCCCTTTGCAACCTTTCTGCAGGGAAACGAGGTGGGGAGAGAGGTGGGCTCACATGCATCCTCTTTCCCTCCCGTGGGCCCCTATGAAGCCATGCTGCAAAGCAGCACTTGCAGAGCTGGGGGCAGAGGGAACATGCAGCGGGTGGCGTGCACCGATAGCCACGGAAGGCCTCCATTCATGGTCCGTGGGCCGCACATGAACCTCCCTCGGTGCGATGTTACTGGGCCAGATGATCCCTGGTCAGACATGCGAGAAAGGAGCCTCCCGTGTGCCTCTAGTCCAATGCGCCGTGTACCTTGATTCCATCGATGGTGGAGCCCCTCATCCTTCCACTCCGGTCCACGAGGAAGAGCATTTCCCGAGTGACCGTCTGGAAATCAGTGGGAATGCTGCCCACCTCCGGGCAGAAATTCAGCATCAGGACAGGGTTGTGGAAAATGTCTTTGTGGAATCTCTTCTGGACAAAGGCCACCTTGCAGGAGAGAAAAGAAGGAGAGATTTTGCAGCTTTAGACTTCTGCTGCGTCCTTGTCTTCTTTTTAGACAACCGCACAAAATGTGTCTAGCTGCACAGTAGAATAAATGCCTGACCTCCCTTAGAGGGTTATAAGAGAGGAAGAACATTGGATTGGGCTTGGAGTTCCTTGGAGAAGGGGCAAGATTAAAATGTGACAACTGCATGACTGCGCTGCCCAGTTTGCTGGTAACTGTGGTGTTGTATTGGCTTCAATGTTTTATTAAGGTTTATATACACTTTTTACCAATTATTCTGTACTTTATTATTTATTATACTTAAACCCTCCCTTTCCTCCTGCAAGGAACCCAAGGCAGCTTACATAGACCTTGTCCTCAATCATAGCAACAACCTTATGAGGTAGGCTAGGCTGAGAGTTAGTCCCAGGCCCAAAGTTACCCAGTGATCTTCATGGCTGAGTGTGAACTTGAACCCAGTTCTCCTGAGTCCCAATTGAACATTCTCACCATCTTGCCTATCTATCTATCTATCTATCTATCTATCTATCTATCTATCTATAATATTTATATACCGTCCTATCACGAAGGCCTCAGGATGGCTTACATAAGTAAAATAATATAAAACATAATACAAATGAATTACAGATTCACCCTGGCTGCAGTTAAAAACATATATAAATCAATATTAAAAGTTATTAAAATATTGTTGGAATAAAAAGGTCTTAACCTGGCCCCGAAAAACAAATAACAACGGCGCCAGGCAGACCTCTCTGGGGAGCGCATTCCATAGGCGGGACGCCACCACAGAGAAAGCCCTCCTCCAGGTACTCACCCTCCTAATATCATTCACAGAGGGTTCCCGGAGGAGGGCCTCTGCCGCCGATCTCAAGGGGTGGGAGGGCAAATACGGACGCAGGCGTTCCTTTAGGTATCCAGGTCCCAAGCCATTAAGGCCTTTATAGGTAATAACCAGCACCTTGAATTGAGCCCGGACTTCAATGGGAAGCCAGTGAAGCTGATAGAGGACTGGGGTTATATGAGAACAACGCCCAGTCCCCGTCAGCAACCTGGCTGCTCTATTTTGCACCATCTGAAGTATCCGGACTGTCTTCAAGGGCAGCCCCACATAGAGCGCGTTACAGAAATCCAACCGGGAAGTAACCAATGCATGTGTCACTGTCGCTAGGCAATCGTTCTCCTGGTAGGGACGCAGCTGATGGATTAACCAAAGCTGAAGGAAAGCGCTCCTCGCCACCATGGTCACCTGAGCTTCCAGGGACAGCTCTGGGTCAAGGAGCACTCCCAAGCTGCGGACCCTGTCCTTTAGAGGGAGTGCAACCCCATCCAGGGCAAGGCCCAAGTCACCTACCCAGGAGCTCAATCCACCCACCAGCAGGACCTCCGTCTTGTCTGGATTGAGCCTCAGTTTATTGGCCCTCATCCAGCCCATTACCTTGGCCAGGCACCGGTTCAGCACAGCCACTGCCTCACCTGGATTGGTGGAAAACGAGAGGTAGAGCTGGGTATCATCAGCGTACTGATGATTCCGCAGCCCACACCTCCTGATGACCTCTCCCAGCTGTTTCATGTAGATGTTAAATAGCAAGGGGGACAAAATGGATCCACTAGCTTCTACCACACTGGTATTTTAATATATATCGTAATGTCTTTAATGCATTTAGTGCAAATAACTTCGAAATTTTGTTTGTTTATATCCTGCCATTTTTCCTTTTAAGGTACTCAAGAAGACTTACATATATCTCTCCCACTGCAGCTGTATTTATGAAATAAATAAGAAGTCATTACAATCAAAAGTTAGTCACTGCAACTGTTTCCCCTACCTATATCCACAACCATGCAGGTAATTCTTATTTGGCTGCTGTTTTGCCATAGCAGTAACTGCAGAGCTTTGGTAAAGACCCCGGGGGGGGGGGGGGGGGGGGGGGAATCATCTGCTCAGAATCAACGCATTCTTCTTCCACATACAGTTCCAGGCATCGTACAGCAAAGGTTCTTCTTGTGCATCCTGATCATTTGAATCTATGTTTAGACAGTCCTGAAACAATTCAGAAAAAGGCTCCCCTTCCCAGCTAGTTACCTGCCTCTCTTCCTCATTGCCTTTCCTGGCAATGCGAGCGTAATCCTGACGGTTCCTTATGTGTGCCGCATATTCCTGATAGGTCATAGCACCGTGCTCAGTGATCAGGTGTGGATGATGAGGTTCTGGGGAGAGCAAGATTGCAAAGTGGCCTGAAAGTCAGAATGATCCAGACACAATGACTTGGGCCGCTTGGACCTGAGTCCAAAGCCCCTGTCAAGGCATGACTTAGCTTGGTTTCCCGTCTGTAAAATGGGAAGAAGAGTCACCTCCTTCTACGGTGAAGCTCTGCACAAGAACAACCCAACATTTGGTAGCTGACGGCACACAGAGCAATTTAAATACTTCAATAAGGTGGGGGGGGTGTGGTTTAGCCTATCTAACTTTTTTGGGATCGCAATTGAGCCCTTTGTGATTTGCACAAGCAACTGCAGTGTGCATCTTCTTTCCACACAATCCCTACTCTCAGAAATCCAGGGGTTAGAACTGGCACTGAAAATACAACACTGGTTGTGTTTTTAATCCTCTCTGATTTCACCATATATGCAGGCTGCTTTCTCCAGTAAATCGGAGAGGGTATGAAATCCAGGGGAACCTACATGAATATTTGGCAAGAGTATATTGCAAATGCAAGTCTCTGGAGGCATTTAGAAATCTTCAAAACTGTTCAATGAAAGGCTGAACCCCATCCCAAAGATGAGAATAGGGAGCATCTGTATAAAGACCTGTATAAAGATCACACTCACAAAAGCAGCCTAGCCACGAAGCATACAGTGCTGGAAGGGATCAGAAATGTGTAAGGTGATGTTTGGCCATGTCTGTATTTGGTCCTTCTTGAAAAACTAACCTATCAGACATGGGTGTGTTGGCACATGGATAAACTGTGGCTTTTTATGCTGTTTATATCCTCAGTTAATATCTACCTTCACCCTACCCTTTTTATTTTCCTGCTATTTTCATATTTATTTGATTTTAACTGAGGTTTTAGTATATTAATGGTCAGATGCTGTGGGGTTTGTTTTATTCTACTTATTTATTGTAAGCTGCCCCAAGACATTCTGTAGGGGACTGGATAGAAGAGCTTTTAGTAAATAAATAAATAAACCCTGCCATGCAATTTTATTAAAAATGCAAGAAAAAAGGTGAGAAAATTACCTCAGAAAGGGAATGGGGATCTTCCAGGCTATGAGCTATCCTGAGCCTCTTCCATCCTCCCTCCCTTCCACTCCGAAGCATCTTCAAGAGAGATCTTGGTTGGTCAGGAGGATGGGAGACAACGTTCGCCTCCGCGCTCCTTCTGCCTTGAATTGGATGACCACAAACTGGGGCTGCCTGGTCAACGCTGGCGCAATGGCTAGGACTGCATCCTAGTTAATAAACAGTTTACATCCTGTGTGAACCAGGATCCCCTTCTCCTAGATCAGCCTCATCCTGCATGATTTTGAAGGAAACCTTCAAGTGAGGCTTTCCAAGTGAAAGTCATGCTTTGTAATCTAATTTTATAAATAGATTGCTAGGCTTCCTATTATTATGGATACGATGATGTTTTGAAAACGTATCAAAGGGAGGCAATTTAGTGCCCCTCATATGTTTTGGGCTTCATTTCCCATAATTCCTGACCATTGGTCCTGCTGGCTGGGGCTGACGGGGATGGCAGCCTTCAATTCTGGAAGCTAGCAGGTCACGTGTTCCTTTGCATTGTGTGCTTCGTTCATTGCTTCTACTTACTAAATAAGAACACTTTAACAATAACAAAAATACATAAGTTTGGGGATCTTACGGGAAAATGTTAGTTTATGCTAATAAGGTTTATCAGAAGTGCTGCAGAAATGGCAAAGAATTTATTTTTTAAAAATGTTCCAAAATCATTTGAAAGCATCTGTTGAAGAACAAGAGCTGTAAGTTGCTAGTACAACCCACAAGTTTGTGACCCTCTGCACTTTTCTGTGCAGTGCGCATTACTACAAGGTTACAATGATCACAACTTCGCCTGGCTGCAGAGGGCTTTCTTACCACAAGGATACAAGATAATCTCCAGGTTTCTGTCACATCGGTGCTTCTCTGCCAATGTAATGCATATAGTTGAGGCAGAACTCGCGTAAGGATTGGCGTCCGCTTGCAAAGCATGGGATGGACTCTCCAGCCCTGCAGGAATAAATGCGGGGTGGGAAGAAAGAGGACTTTATTGCTAGCTTGTTGTAATGTTGCGTCCTCTAGAAGAGCCTTCCCAGAACCAGGCCCTACAAACAGTGAGGTTTACAACTAAGTCCTTCACACAGTGCCTAGCTAAACTATGGAATTCTCCACCACAGGTGAGAGCCACCAATTTGGATAGTTTTAAACGGAGATTAGATGAACTGGGCTATCTTAGACTCCGCACTGGATGGTGATGTTCTAGCACAGTGGTGACCTATGGCACGCGTGCCACAGCAGGCACGCAGAACCCTCTCTGTGGCACGGGAACCAGGTCGCCCCGGATCGCCCCAGCAGCCGAGCATCAGATAACAGCGCACCCTGGGGCCATGCGCGTGCTCAGAAAGGAGTAGCGGTGCCAGGCGATGACGTCACACACCACGACTCATTAGATGTGACTCGTTCGAGCTTTCGCATGGCCGGTCAGTGTGCTGCCAAGGATATATATATGAGTATATTTGCTTGGACTGGCTGTGAGGTGTTTTTTCTAAACTAAAACCTCAGTCTTCAGGTTTTATTGCAGTGTTGGCACTTTGTGATAAATAAGTGGGTTTTGGGTTGCAGTTTGGGCACTCGGTCTCTAAAAGGTTCGCCATCACTGTTCTAGTATAAAAATAAATTTCTTTTATCTATATATGCTTGTCTATTCAGATAGAAACAAACAACCCTCTGAAAAAAAGCATGGCACTATTGCAGTGTCTGTGTGTGTGTGTGCGCATGCGTGCACGCAAGTTAAGGGAAATGCGAGTTGAACGGTTCATAGAAATTTTTAAAACTTAATTACTCCATTCTTGAGGACCCTCACTGTTTTGTGACTGCCTCCATTTAACTGCATGATGTGGTATGACTGGGATTTTCTTTTTGCATTCTTACACGTTCTTTACAAAAATAACAGGCCAGATACTCGCCATCGGACTGATTGTTCCCGGATTCCCCTCATCCACAGTTTTTGCAGAATTTCCATCACCCCTTATCAAGCCATGCTAAAATTTAAAGGTTTAAATACTGTGGTCACAACATCCATGCAAAAAGTATGTATGTTCACATGGCTTTCATTAAGGCCTGCCATTGCTGGCATATGTAGACTTCTTTTGTGGAGCTTTTCAGTAGGTTTTTTACCTTATTCACAGCCCACAAAGAAGTCATTCTTCAGCACGGAAAGATGGACGGTTTTACCAGACCAAAGCTCATTGGGGCAGGAGTGCGCGTCTCTCAGCGGGATGGGACCTGAGCCAAGGCCTAATGGAATTAATTCTCTTGTCTGTCTGAAGCGCACGGCCCAGGCTCTCCAAATTTGCTTCCACCTTCCCCCCCACCTGCACCTTTGCTTCTTCTCTCCCCCACATTCATCATTCTTTCATGGGAGGAAAAGAGTAAGCTCAGCAATAAAGCTTATATAAACCTCAAGTTATAAAAAAGAATCAAGATTCTCTCTTCTGCTTTCAACACCCCGCTCCATAAATCCTTCACATGGTGAAACTAACCAGAAGCACTTCTGGGAATGGTTTTATTCATTCTTCCTTCCCTTTGGACATCCTTGATATAAGGCGTGTCTCTCTTATCGTCCTACTACCCAGTCCTCTGAGATTATGAGTTATGTTAGGAAAAAAAGAAAGGGGTATGGAAAGAGATCAGGAAAGGCAAATTTCTTCTTGCCCAGGAAAGAAGAACACTGGAAAGGCAGTCACCTCCAAGTAACCTGCTACTGGATGAAGAATGGATTGTGAACAGAAAGAATACAAGGAGTTCCAATGCTGAACCCCCTCCTTTCCATAGGCGACTTTTCCCTTTATTTCTGTATTTATTTCCTCTTACATACTATTTAATCTAATAAAATATACAGTCAATTTACACTCAAAGCAGATACCAATGTCTCTCTGCTATATAATGATGCTTTGATAACACTGTATATCTTGCATCTGGACCATTATTTTTTTAATATCCAGAACATCCCTAACTGAATACTGGAGCATCTTCCACCGCTGAGTCTAGTCCGCGGGTGCTGCTGGAGATGCCCTTATCATACAATGGTCCTGCCTCATCCACGGACTTTTAAGGGCTTCTGGACAAATTCTCCTGGCATTACCACCCGCCCACTTTCTTCATACCATGCACAATTCTGCACACCTTTACTATGTCCCCTCTTGCCGCCTCTTTTCTAAGCTAAACAATCCCAGCTGTTTTACTCTTTCCTCACAGCAGAGTTAGTCCAGCTCCCCAGCCATTGTAACCGCCTCCCCTTCCAGCTTTTCTAAATCTACAATATTCTTTTTTTAGATGCAGTGACCGGAACTGTATTCTAAGTTTGGTTGCATTATAGGTTTGTATAAAGGAAGTTTGATATTGGCAGTTTTATTTTCAATTGCTTTCCTAATTATGCCTCACGCGGAATTTGCCTTTTTTCCCCGGCGGCTGCACATTGGATTGACGTTTTCCCTGAGCTGTCCACAATCTCTTACTTCGCTCGGCTCAGTTCCCAGCAGATTATACTTGGAGTTGGGATTTGCCCTCTGCCCCCACCCCCACCCCCCAAAAAAGGAAAAGAGAAGAAGAAAGAAGAGAAAGAGAGCAAGAGCAAGAGATGAACAAGAGGCTATACTATGGTGTGCTATTATATGAAACAAATAAATTATGCCTAACACAGAATGCACTTTTTCTCAGCAGCTGGACCAACATTTTCCTGAAGTTGTCCACCACAACCATAAAACCATCTTTTTCTCGGTCAGTCACAGCTAACTGAGATCCCATCAGCATGTAGGTCGTGCTGGAACTTTCACACCCACGTCCATCATTTTCCAGTTGCTTACACTGAACCGTATTTGCCATTCTGATGTCCAGGACTTCTCCCAGTTTGGAGATCCTTCTCTTTTTCCATGATAACTGAGTTTGCTCTAAGTCTTTGATGAGAGATTTTGTGAAAGGCCTTTGGAAGTCCATGTAAGCAGCGTCTACCATATCACCTCTGTCCACACGTTTACTAACACTCTCAAGGAGCTCTAAACGGCTAGCGAGACAGATCATGGCACGAGTTCTTTGAAGAAGGTATGCAGACTCTTTTTCAGCACACTTGTCCTTGTACATTCTTACTAATTTTATTTTTAATACTGCCTTCAACCAATATACCCTGTTAAGCTAACCACCTTGTAATCCCCTGGATCCTCCCAGGAACTTTTAAAAACCTTGTGCTGCATTGGCCATTCTCCAATCCTTGGCCTTTGCTGATCTTATGCATACGTTACATGCTTTTTGCTAGAAGATCAGCAATTTCATAATTGCATTCATTAAGGTAGCTGCTGTCCAGGTCCAGTGATTTAACTTTTGCATCTTTTGTCACTATCATTAGCCTCAGTTCCTCAGACACCTTTCCTGAAAACATTAGTTCAGGCACTGAAAACATTAGTTCAGACAGATGAAAATAATTCAACAATCTCCTTATCTTTCTTTAGTACTCCTATAACTCTATTTCCACCCAGTGGCCAACAATGGGGCCCCTTTCTGTGGAGCATTTAGCATAAGGATTAACCCAGCTTTGCTTACCGTAACAGTGAATTCCATAAATTGCATGCTATTTCAAGAGATAGTGAGCAATTTTATTCTACTTAATTCATTATCGATGGATGGTAATTTAAAGCCTCTATACATCATCAAAGCATTTGGACATTACTCACAGGGCATCAAATTTGGTAAAGACACATTCCGGTCACCTTGATCACCACAACAGTCTGAAGATGGCACTATTTGTGTCTTTTTATTCAAATTCAGGACACGCTATCTCCCCCGTAACTGTGCCCAGCATTTGAGCAAAGATCTAAGCAAAATGCATATGCAGCAGAATGGAGGGTTGTCTGAATTCCCCATTCGGAAGCCCAAATGTTCCGATTGAGGGCAGGGGTGACTGCGGTGGTGGTGAGACATGCAAGCAGAATTTACTGGCAGCCATTCCGAAAACTCTACGATATCCTTCTCATTCATGTTGTTTAAGTATAGGATGTAAACTTAAACATCAAAACCTTCTTAAATCTGGAATGCCTTTCCTGCTTTGGGAGCAGAAAGCCATGTATGCATCGTTTCTACCCAAGTGATTATGTTTTGTAGTTTGGGTTTTTAGGAAAAGGAGAAGTTGGTATGGGAAATATCTCTCTGTGTGTATTATTATTATTATTATTATTATTATTATTATTATTAAAACATCTCTATGCCGCCCCTTGCCGAAGCCTCGGGGTGGCTTACAACACAATAAAATACAATACAATACAAAATAACAATATAAAATTAAAATTAATAATATAAAATAAATAAAAAATATAAACGATATAAAAGAAGTTAGAAAAGAAAAGTGTAGGTACTGTAGCACTGGGAACTCTTCAGGTGTGCTTCCAACCCTGTCCGAATCTCTTTACCAGAAGTGCTGACCCTTCAAAGATATGCACATAATAGATGCCGTATCATACCTGCCAGTAAACAGGGTCCCTTAACCAGCATCTCGAAGGTGAACTCATAGGGAAAGGGGTTGTAAGCCTTCCCTCTGAAGATGTTGTTGTCTCCAGGAGGCACGAGGAAAGACTGTTCGCTTTTCAGACCAGGGGACCCGAAGCAACTGGTGGAGCTGAAGAAGAGAGAGAAGTCACAAACCAGAGCTGCCCAGTGTGTGCCAAGGCAAGGCTGAGCTCAGCAAGTGGTCTTATCTTGAAACCTCTAGATGGACAGGGCTTCTGTCTGCTACAGTGCTTAAGGCTTCCTCAGAAACTGGACTAAGCTGCACTAAGTGGAGAAGGGACAGAGGGAATGAAAAAAACACTTTAAAGTGACTTGATGTTTATTTTCTTTTTTTAAATTTGAAAATCTCACCAGGAGGGGGATTTTTTTATCCCATCGTTCCCCAGATCCATATAAATGCACCCCAATATTCTGAAAGCGACAGAAATATGCTGGGGAAAGGTATTTTGTTTTCAGTAAGAGAAAGGCTGGAAACTAATTGCAACATGGTAGATTTTCCTACAGAGGAGCATTATTTACAAAAAATATATACCCCCAGGGTATATTTCAGAAATTTTTTACTTGAGTGATGAAGACCCATTGGGTCGGCATGTCATGAGTGGAGCCGGAGGTCAGACTAGATGGCCCAGGAGACCCCTTCTGACTCGCTTCGCTTCTATTTTTCTATGGTAGCTTTACAAAGGCACTTAGATGGCAGCTGCACTTTGGGTGCACCACATACTGAGCCTGGCCCGGACCACCCAATCCATTCTCTGGACACACAAATTTTGCTCATGTAAACAGTTCCTTGGAGAACAAGAAACTTGAGCCTGTGGGAAAGCTAGTGGAATTGGACGTGGGACTCTATGTTCTGAAGAGAGTTTCTTAATCCCACTTTGATCAAAAGTTATAGGCTGCAATGCTAAAACCATCATTGATCCAGCCTTCCTACCAATTTCATAAAGGATAGCAATGGGACCGGCCCTCCCGCACCCGTGCCGCAGCGTGTCAAGGGCCATTGTAATGCTGGTGTTCAGCCCTGCAGTGAGCTGGCCAAGCCCCCCTCCACAATACTCAGCGGGATTTCTCGTCCCATCCAGTTTTTTGCTTCCCCCTCCATCCAGCAATCAGCCAGTATCCTGTGGCCAAAGAGTATGTTTAGTCTCAGGTTTTTCTCTCCTGAGAGTTTTCCCCTCCTCGCAAACTTTTCTAGTCCTGCAAACTGCAGAGTTTCTCCAGGGTTGCTGATCCTTCTTCCTTCTTGTACGTAAATGGTTACACGTGCATTTTGGTTGCAAAAGCCCCGTTTTTTTCTTCTGACTATCAGAAACCGAGGCCATGATGCTGAGCCAGGGTTCAGTGATTCCCAACTATCTTTTAACAGGACTGCACTCCTATAATCTATGATTTGCAGCACATCTCCAGAGAATGAGTAGCTCCTGGACAGGCTGCTCCCTGGACCTGTTAATCCATGCTCTGACTACAGTTCCTGGCCCTCACCAACCACAACAACATTTTGTTCTGCCTTCTCCAATGTCTTTCCAATCCCTTTGTTGCTGGTATTTCCCATCATCTCCAACTTATGGGAACCCCATGGACAAAAGCCTTCCAAAACATCCTATCCTATCCTATCCTATCCTATCCTATCCTATCCTATCCTATCCATGACAGCCTTGCTTAGTCGTCTTAAATTCACGGCTGTGGCTTCCTTGAAGGAGGCCATCCATCTCTTATTTGGTTTTCCTTTCCTTTGACTTTCCCTGGCATGGTTGCATTCTTCTGTGAGCCTTGCCTTCCCTGTGGCCTAAACCACCTGTATGTCTCTTCTGCGTTTACTCTCTATATGGCCCAGCAGACAAGGTATGCGTGGCACCAGCGGAACAAGGCTGCCTTGCATATGGAAAGTCACATTGGGGGAGTGCCCCTCAGCGCATGGCCGCTTAAGTATGGTGAAGCCGTGCTGCAAATTAATACTCTGCGTGTGTCAGTGTAGTGGTTCCACTCCTTTTCCTCTTGTGCTGGATCTGCTTGCAGGCTAGTGGTGGCCCCCAAACCCCCCTCAAGCCCCAGACCACATAGCAGAGACACTGAGAAAGCCATGAAAATCACCATAGGGCCAACCTGTCGTCACACAAGCCTCTTGCCTCACTTTCGCTTTCAGGGATGGATATGATGAAGGGCATGAGAACAGATGGGAAGAGCACTCGCAGCGCCCCGCTTGGCAGAGTGGCGAGCTCCCGACTGCTGCTGAAGACCACAGTCAAGGTTTCGGAAGGCCCAATAGGACCTGTGCTGATGATGAAAGTAGACCGAGCTAAGTCTTCGTCCAGAATCAAGTGACCTGCGCAGAAGGTACAGAGGAGGTGGTTAGAAAGCTCTCTTGGATCACTCACAGGGAAGGCTACTACCTTCTGTATCCCAGAGGCTAAAAGCCACACCTGTCTCCTTGGAACAAAGGGAAGACTTGCTGTTAGTCGCAAAGTCATGTCCGACCCATGGCCACCCCATGGACAACATTCCTCCATGCCTTCCTGTCCACCATCCCCCGGAGTCCACCCAAGCTCACACCAACTGCTTCAGTGACCCCATCCAGCCACCTCATCCTCTGCCGTCCCCTTCTTCTTTTGCCATCTATTGTTCCCAGCATCAGGCTCTTCTCCAGGGAGTCCTTTCTTCTCATTAGGTGGCCAAAGTATTTGAGCTTCATCTTCAATATCTGGCCTTCTAGAGAGCAGTCAGGGTTGATCTCCTCTAGGACTGACCGGTTGATTGCTTTGTGGTCCAAGGGACTCGCAGGAGTCTCTTCCAGCACCACAATTCAAAGCCTCAGTTCTTCGGCACTCAGCCTTCTTTATGGTCCAACTTTCACAGCCATATATTGCAACTGGGAAAACCATAGCCTTGACTATACCCACTTTTGTCGACAGGGTGATGTCTCTGCTTTTTAGTATGCTGTCTAGATTTGCCATAGCTTTCCTCCCAGGAGCAAGCGCCTTTAATTTCTTGGCTGCAGTCCCTGTCTGCAGTGATCATGGAGCCCAGGAAAATAAAATCTGTCACTACCTCTATTTCTTCCCCATCTATTTGCCAGGAAGTGAGAGGACCGGATGCCATGATCTTAGTTTTCTTAATGTTGAGTTTCAAGCCAACTTTTGAGCTCTCCTCCTTCACCCGCATCAAGAGGCTCTTTAGTTCCTCTTCACTTTCTGCCATGAGAGTGGTATCATCTGCATATCTGAGGTTGTTGATATTTCTCCAGGCAATCTGAATTCCAACCGGTGATTCATCTAGCTCTGCCTTTCTCATGATGTGCTCTGCATATAAGTTAAATAGGCAGGGCAACAGGATACAGCCTTGCTGAGCTCCTTCTCAATTTTGAGCCAATAGGTGGCTCCGTGCCCAGTTCTCCCTGTTGCTTCTTGACCCGCATGCAGGTTTCGTCTCCCTTGACTCCTGCTCCCTTTGAAAGCTGCCCCTGGGGTGGCAAGTTTGGATCATGCTCTATATTCTTACAAGCTTATTACCTCCCTGGGTTTTCTTGACATAAGATTTACGTCTTCGTCATTCTGCATCCTTTGGAAAATTGAGGAAGGTTAGGCCAAAAGCTATGGATTTAGCTGTGGCTACTCAATGATATTCACCAAGAAATCTTGCCATGAGGTCTTGCGTCTCTGGCCACACACAGAGGAAGAGGTTAAAAAATACAAATTCACAGTGCCAAATCCAATTTCTCACTATTAGCTTAAGGCATAGTAGCCCAGAGCCAGATTTATTTATTTATTTATTTATGTTTCAATTTATATCCTGCCTTTTTCCTACAAAGGGCTCAAGGCAGCTTACATCATTCTCCTCCTACTAGTTTTAATCTTATGCCCACAAGAACAACCCTGTGAGGTAGGTTGGGCTGAGAGTCTGTGCCTGGCCCAAAGACACCCAGTTGGATCCATGGCTGAGCGGGGACCAGAACCCAGATGGCCTGAGTCCGAGTCCCATGCTCTTAACCATGACACCACACTGGCTCTCCATGCATTGGAGAATGCAAGATTTCCACACATTCAGGATGCAACCTGAAATGGGTGTTGAGTACAATACAAGTGTTACCGCCAAGCATGGCAGTTATTACTGAGAAGCTCTGGGTGACTGGATATGAGTCTGTTTGATATCCATCCTAAAATGCTCAAAGCCCTTCTCCTTATTTTGCTCATTGCTTCTCAGTTGCACCCCAGGACAATTCATTTTGACCTGTTTGCCAAAAGCCAGTTAAACATTCCCAGGCGCCGAGTCTTCAGGATTCCACTCAAGCGCTCTCCAGATATATTCCACTACAACCCCCATCATCCTCAGCCAGCATGGCCTTTGGCTGCACAGGCTGATGTGATGAATTTGCAGTCCAATACACCTGACGGCTGGTCTAAAGCGGTTCCAGCTGTCTAATGGATCACTCTAATCCGTTTTTATCCTTAGCCTAAGCATAGCACTCTTGAAGTTGGCAGTGGATTACTTCATCATGTGGAAACAAAAAGGGATATCACCTCTAACCTTCCAGACCAAGAAAGTGAAAGCCAGTGTGGTGTACAGGGCTCGGAGTACAGGATTGGGACCCAGGTGACCGGGCTCTAGTCCCCACTCAGCCATGGAGCCCACTGGGTGACTTTGGGCCAGTCACAGACTCCCCATCCAACCTACCTCACAGGGTTCTTGTTGTGAGGATAAAACTGAGGGGAGGAGGAGAGTTATGTAGGCCCCCTTGAGTTCCTTGAAAGGGAAAGGTGGGATATAAATCTAATAGATAAATATGCTTATTTGCATCTGCTCTCAGCTGGTGTCTGACTCCTGCCTCAGAATGCCATTAATTTCAGCAGCGACACGGAGACAAGGAGGTGCAAGGAGATGCTGGTACAACCCACCGTTGGCGCAGCAGAGAGGCTGGTTCCAACTCTCTGTGCAGCTGAGGCAGCAGTCCTCCACGCGGGGTCGGCTGCGTATCTGGAAGGTGAAGGTTCTGCCTCCCGTCACAGCTTCAAAGCTGGAGACCACCTCTGTCTCCTCCAGAGGATAGACGAATACTCCTGTGCAAAAGAAGCCGGGCTGATCCCCAAGCAACAGTCCCCCTTGCCTTCCTTTTACTGGTCTCCTTGCTATAGCTGTCCCAGAAGAAGTGGAAAATGTAATCCAGTCCCATACAGAGCAAGAAGCCGCAGCTCCATCCACACCGCTCTCGAAAATCACCCGACTTCTACCTTACTGTAAGGGTGCATTACACCAAACACTGTGCTGGTCACCTCAGAAAGGAAGACTTCCCAGGAAGGAGCTATGGCTGATGGGAACATAGGAAGCTGCCTTTTATAGCTGTGTCTGACCCGTGGCCCATCAAACCTAGTACTGTTGACTCTGACTGGCAGAGGCTTCCCAGGGTTTGGGGCAGATTCATTCCTAGCCCTACTCGGAGATGCTGGAGATTAAGTGTGGGATCTTCCGCATGCAAAGCGACACGCTCTGCCATGAGCGATGCCTTTGACGGCGGCAGAGACATTCTTGTTGGCATCGCAAGGTATGCATCTGCCAAGAGACAAGAGATCTTCACCTGAGGCAGCTCCAAAAGAAAGGGTCAGGAACCCACAGAGTGCTTATTACATCAAGCCTTGCATGTTCTTGCAGTCATCACCTGCAAGTTCGAGAAAGCGCTTACCTTCCACGGGCCGTGGTTCCAGGTTGATGTAAGTCAGGTGAGCTGTGAGTCCCAGGGAATAGCCATTGGCACAGGCCTTCACGCACGAGCTCTGCAGAGGAAGGGCGGTCCAGGTGGGCAGGCAGTATAAGCCCGGCATGGTCTCCAGGTGGAACTGGCAAGGCCCACTGCCCACCGTCAAGGTGGGAAGAGACAAGGAAAGAGCAGTGAGGAAGCCAAATCTACGGCGAAGGCACAGGTGAAAGTCTGTATGTCTGTTAGGGCGGCAAACCAGCTTGGGGACCAAAGAGCAGCCCGAGCTGAAGAAGGACAAACGAACGTAGGTGTCCAAACACACCTTGTTCTCGTCCTTATTCCACGCCAATGGTGAACTTGCTGAGCAGTGTTTCCTCAAACCCTCTGTTTGCTTGTCAGCCTGAAATAAAGTTTATTAGAAAGCACACAAGCCCCTGGGAAATCCAAGTAAATGTCTTGTATACACAACCACTTTATCGCAGAGCCAGTCTTAATCGGAACAGAGCAACACACATGCCTATTGAGTGAAGGGTTTCTTTACGTAGGACCTCTTTAAGGCAGCATGGGCCCATTTCCTCTCCTAAGGAGGCATTGATCACTGTGTGGCCCAGCTGGATTTCACTCCCTGCTAGCTTTTATAGTCAAGAGGTCGAGGATCAGGTATGGATGTGGTTGCATGAACCTGTCCCAGCTGAAACTCATCCAGTCAAGCTGGTCAAGGCTGTGCTCTGGGTTCCTTGCCTGGTGCAGCTGTACACAATTGGAGCATAAACTAAATCCTGGCATGTATAAGATATTTTATCTTGAAAGTGTCTCACAAGTACAGTATAGTGTGCCTAAGACACGGGATAACAGATGCCTCAGCCAAGTTACCTGCATTACAGTGTAAGAATCAGGTGATGTGGCCTTTCCATGAAGCAGAGAGCTCCAGGTGATTGCCAATGGGAAGTGTTTGTCTCTTTGAGCAGGATAAAATGGAGTCAAAAGGTCTGGCTGAGTGGCCTCCTGCACACAGACCATAACACTAAGTTCATCAAGTTTCTCACCTTCCACCACTTGATGTTTTCCTCTATTTCAGGTTTATTGTAGCTAACAATTAACATCCTGGCAAACATAACAGTCCTTTTAGCATTCTAATTACTCTCTATTCTTTCCCACTCCAGAAGTGTGGATGTCACCCAGGTAACCTTTGTGGGTGGCTCAAAGGGCGGGAGCCGCAGAAGCTCTTCTCAGGAACCAAGCGAGCCTCTGTTGTTCAGGGGTTTTTTGGAAGCTCTGAACCTCTGACTGCTCAAGCAAACTGGAAAATGATCTTCATTCCAAAAATAAACCTCTGTGTCCAGGTAACCTTCTATACTGCTGCATATGTAGACTGGTTACACTGGAGAGCTGTTTCGGAGCCGTTTCTGCTCATGTGAAAGATGGCGTGGAAAAACAAACAGATGCATGGGAAGCAGCTAATCAACCCTGAACATGCTTCAGTTCAGTGTTTGCACTTTCCTTTCCAATACGAAGGGACTTGCTGAAATAAATTTTGACACTTACTGTTGTGTTAGGGCTACTGGTACAGTTAGAATTACTAGACAAAGTAGTCTTCAAATGAAGACTGAAGGCATAAAACTTCAGGAAAGGATCTTGCAATTTTGACCAACTGGATTTATGGAATGGGCATTAACAGAAATACACTAATTAGAATGCATGTATAAAATACTAGTTTTGGTTTATTATGCTTTAAGTTATCTTATGGACTGTTGGTGATATGCTAATTTATTTAAACCAAATCAATCAACAAGTTGATTGCCTTGTTAAAAAAAGGTGATTAATTGATTTCAACAACCACATGTTGTTAAAATAATAGCAAAATATTGGCTAAATGAGTGTCATAATGCTAAAAGAATATACCAGTAATTTAAAACATAAAAAAATAAAACATTTTTTTCAGTTATACCATTTCAGCAACAGGTATTTTCTTTGAATACTTCCCATGTACACTTCTGATCTCTCTTCCCTATAAGGTATTTTAACCAGTTTGTTTTTAATCTTTCATGGGCAATTATAGTTCAATAAATAAATAAATTATTTTATTTTATCCATTGAAGGCAATTCTATACTGTTCAATTAGACAAGCTCTCAGAATGGTGCTCAGAAAATGTCTTTTACTTCTTTTTCAAGGACTGCTGTGATTTCTTTTTCCTAAATGGCTGTCATTTTTCCTACACGTAAATGACGACCTGGCCCATCTCTTTCCCTGAATGGACAGGAAGAGTAACATCTCTCTGCAACTCTGGAAAGTCAATTCTGGTATCACTTACAGCTTACAAGAGAAGAACAGTGTTGTATCAACACTGGCACAAGTTCTCTTGGCACCTGAGGCAGGGAGAACGCATGTCGCCCCTGCACTGTCCGCTCACGTGGGTCTCCACGAGTCAGCAGAGTCAGGAAAACTGTTTGCAAAGGGTGCGGCAGGGGAAAATAGAGGGTGCGCAGGCCACTGCTGCAGAGAGAGAGCCCTTCTCTCCTGCTGTGGCAAACACGATGGGAGGAAAGTGCTTGGCAAGGCTCTTTGGAGCACCTTCTGGAAGCAGCAGCTGAGGAGGGGACAGCACAATTTGCCCGCCTTCCTGTGCCACGGTCTCATCTTGCTTTGTGGTCGGCTTCGCCCAGCCAGAGGCAAAAGGGTAGTGATGGGGAGCTGAAACAATGCAGCGGTGAAGACCCCCCACTGGCCCCCCTCTTGTTCCATGGTCCCTCAAACTAGAACGAACTAGATTGTAGCACCTCAGGAAAGTTCCAATTTTCCTCTCCATCCCCAGAGCTCCTAACCTACTTCAAACCAATCTGCTGAAACCTCAGGAGGCCATTACATTGTCCTCCAAGAGTCTCTCCCTGCAAATCTGGGCTTAAACATTCAATGAGTGTGTCCCCTCTGCCATAGCACTGATTGGCTACAGCTTCACCGGACTGTTAACCAAGGACTTATCGTGGAGGCTCCACTGGCCGCTTGTATTTTATTTAATCATCAGTACCCTTTACATTTTTCTTACTAAAGTAAACAAGGCCCATCTGGTCTTTATATGTTTTATGCAGGCAGCTGTGAGGCATCCTGTGATGAACAAACACCAACCTACAGGTTCTCATTCTGTGATTTTCCTTATCAGTTCCTGGGAACACCAGGACCACAGAAGCATTAATATTACGCCTGTAGACCCTTGCATTCATTGTAGCAAGAGATCGTCTTTTTCCTATGTACCGGTACTACATGTGTGGAGTAGGGTGCCCCATTTTTAAAGTCGACACCTCCGCTCACTTCCATATGCAGTTAATAGGTTGATCTCTGGTATGTAAACTGAAATCTGTTCATGCACCAATATTATCTGAAAATCACTGCCTCTGATGTATGAACTAACACCTCCCTCCAGCTAGTTTTCCATTTTCATCCTTGCACAGAAGAGCTGGTACTGTAGGAGAAACTATTTTTGTACCTCCTGAATTTTGGGATGGGAACCTCTTTTAACCCAAGGACCACATATAGTTTTGAAGTTCTTAGTGATCCTCTTCTACCAAGGGTGGCTTCCAGAGCAAATAAATTTGACTGTTACAGTGTGCTGACAATCCTATAAGTACTTTATGATCGTGAAAAAAAAAATCAAGCGATATACCAATAAATTTTGGCAGTTACCCAAATGTGGTTGCCAGCATTCACTGATGTGTGTGTGAAAAAACACGAAACTATGTTTGTGTCTATTTTTATTAATGAGATAAAATTCTATAGGGTCTCTCAGCATTCAAGTAAGAATGTCCAAAATGTAGCAAGTACTGTCAGTCAATGTAAGCCCTAGAAAGCTACATGAGAACCAGAACAAAGGGAGCTATTTCTGCATTTCACACAAGAGAATAGAATATAGATGGATATAGCTGGAGCAACAGAAAACAGCAGCTTTATCACAGCAAACCTCAGCATAATTCAAGTCGACAAGATGTCATACTTTAACATGGTAAACCAGAACCTGCTTTCTATGAGCAGAGAGAGTCTATTTAGAGAATTAATCTGCTTGTTGTGACAAGGCATGTTAACATGAGCAAGAGTGAAATTTGGTTCCATTTCAAGATTTAGTTTTCGTTTTGTTAGCTTTGCTAGTTTTTGTTTTAAAGCAACAAGCTTCTGCAACTATTATAATTGTGAGGCCTGCAAATATATGGGCCTCAGTAGGTTCCCATGACAGTTCACAAGTACTCCGAAGGGGACATTTTAGTGTTCTGCATGGACATGTCCCTCCTGCATAGCCGACAAATAACTGATATTTTCAATAAGTTCACCCCACTCCTCAATGCAAGATGACTCTAAGGCCTCTGCTTGAATGAACTTAAGCCTGTGCTTAGCTGAGTCCTCCACTTTCTGAAACAGTCTGTTCCACTGCAGAACAGCTCTTACGGTTAAGGAGTTGCTCCTTCCACTTATCGTTAATCGGTTCCCATGCAATTTCCATCCATGGGTTCTAGTTTTGTCCTCTGGAACAACACAGGGCAAGTCCGCTCCATCTTCTGCATGACAGCCCTTCAGTCTGTTATCTGTTCAATGACAGGCTAAGCAGTTATCTGGTTGCTACTAACTAATCACGAAAAACATACGCATGCAAGCTGAAAAAAGTATGCAGCACAGAAACTGGCTTCTCCTGGTACAGTACAAAGGCACAAATATCCCAAAGAGATCTATGATTAGGATTATCAACAGTCAGCTAATTATTTCACTGAAAATACTGAGATATTTTAGGGGCCTCAATATAGGATTCCCAGGCAATTTCCCATCCACTGTTGCTCAGATCCACTCTGGCTTAGCTTCAGATCATTCTCTGGCCTCCAAACAGTTTACAGTTTTATAAACCACGACCCACCTAGCCAAGTCTACGAAGACAAAGATACCAAGTGTACAAAGTAGTAGCTCAGAGCCTGCAGGGAAGCCCAAAAGAAGTTCTCAAGTACTCACAGAGATGGGTCAACAAGTGGCTAAACAGACACAGAAGCCTCCTAGCTCACCTTCTTAGTAGGTAGACAGCTGGAAAATGGAGTAGATTGTGAGATGACATTGCTTACAATAAGGATTATCTGAAACTTGCTGCCCTGAGACCACCATTAGTAGTCTCTGCCTTAGCTTTATTATGCTAAGCCCCAGTCCAATCAGTCCTCCTTTCCACGGCGTTTGATAGAACTTTTTACACCAGTCAGATTTTGCACACACTCCTCATTTTCTCCAGTCCAGGGAACAAAAGGGGAAATTATAATAATGGACCCAGAGACAAAAATAATTATAATAGACCCATGTCAGTTGTTAAATCCCTCCTGCTGGGATTCACTGTCAGTTCCCAGAGCTGCCATTTGGATCAGAAGATGTGGGTTCTATATCTATACAATTTCAATAAGCCAGAATTAATGTCCCCACTAAAGTTATTTTGGGCTGTGATACCTTCAAGTCCAACTTGAGAATGAGACTTAAACGTGGGGATCATCTTCTTGGAGCAATTGGATCAAAGCCCATGTCTAAGCAGCAGTTACTAAAACTACTAAGCATTTCATCATGTGCAACTTCAGCATTATATGCCGTTGCCGGGAAAACTGGGAAGCGCTTCACCACCTAAGCTCCAGACCCAGTAGGCTGAGACAAAAGGAATGCCTCCAGCAATCTTTCCCCCGCATTTCTTTCCAGAAACAGTGAAGTCTTAACAAGCAATGTAATCCAAGTCTTACGTGTCTCCAGTTGAGGACTTTTAACAATTAAGGGCTGGGGAACATTTCCTAATATATTATGAGTTGCAGTAAATAATTGATATGGGACACGTCCAGTACGTAAGTGCAGATCGGTCTGTGATGCGGCAGCAACGGGAGGACCTGCCAAGACGACTCGAGTACCTGCCCTGCCCTGTTCGGGTTGCTTCCTTTTTCATTCAGAAAATGTGGGTCACATCTGCAATATGGGTATGTCGGTCATCAGGGCAAATTGACAGGATCCGGTTTATTATGAAGCAACCGAGACTGGGAAAGAGGGGCAAGCTCAAGTTATCCCTTGTCCAGGGCTTGGCTAGGCGCGTCCTTCTCAAATAGATCCAGGGTCCCATACAGTTGCCGTGCCCTATCCTAGCCACACCCCACCCACCCACCCACCCATTTGCTGCCGAGGAAGTAACCCCACAAAACTGATCGTTGAGGGCTTACCTGGAGAAGGACACGAAGCCTGCAGTCTTAAGCAGCCTGGTCTGGAATGAGTTAATACGGAAGGAAAATCAGCACATTTCTCTATGGGGTTCTGCCATCAAGACTGCCCAGCCTGATTTTTGCGACCTCCCAGCTTCTGTTCTCCCCCCTTCCAAGAGGAAAGCTGGTAGAGCCCTGCTCGCTCTGTTAACTGCTTGCTCACACAGACACGCTCCCCGTCTGCTGCAGCCTCCCTCCAGCACTGGCTTCCTCAGTGCCAGAAGTGCGGGGAACGAGCAGCTCCAGCCCCGGCCTAATTAAAGGGCCAGGCGGTCAGCGTGGATAACGGCACTGTGGAGAGGCGATGGCCAGCTTTCGGCAGGCGCTGTCTTGCTCCTCGGGATGATGAAGCGTGGCCGTCAGAGGCTGTGCGAAAAGGAACATGTTATACTGAACGCATGATAATGGATGCAGTCTGCACTCCTCGCACAATAAAACATAACACCGCACCTGGGAGCAAAGCACTCCCGATCCTGCATCCGTGAAAAGCAAGCCCTGTGTCCTGGATAATTATGCTCCTCTGCAAAAAATATATATATATATATATATATATATATATATGTATGTATGTATGTATGTATAGTTTATTCTTGCAGCAAATGTGGCACTTAGTAGAATGTTTTGGCAGAGGAGAACCAGAGTGTCAGCTGCAGGGTACTGGGAAGAGAACTGGTATCAGAGGCTTCAGCAGACAGATTGAGTAGTTGATTTATAAGCATCATGGCTAGAAATCTGAAATCCATTTAACTGAGTCTGAGAAAGCTGGGCTTCCTGCTTTAAGAACCCCAATGCTCTACTGAGTAACTGCAGCACACACAAATTTGGGATATGCCCTGGAGAACTGCTGCCTGTCAAAACAGATGAATGGATGGACTGTCCCTAGCCCTGATCAATGAGTTATTTCTCATGGGTTGTCTTTGCCCTCCTGGGGCCAGAAGCAGAAATCAGTCCAGAGCAGGGAAAAGTGGCTGGAGTAACTGAGGTAAGGCTGGGGCACAGGTAAGAGTTCAGCACCGCTTTTCCTCACGCTTCTCTTACTATTAAAATCAGCCAGGGCAGGCACATGAAAAGGACACCGTGTTACTGTCATGTCCAGGTTGCTGTCTGTATTCAGTCACTGGAGAAACTGAGTGATATACATGCAAATGAGAACCACAGCATAGTTGTATGGAGACGTATACTTGAAGACATGCAATATAAATCTTTGACACAGTACAATATTTTGATTTTTAAAATAGTTTTGTTCAGTCACAAAGTCGTGCCCAACCCATCGCGACCTCATGGACAACATTCTTCCAGGCTCTCCTGTCCTCCACCATCCCCAGAGTCCACCCAAGCTCACACCCACTGGCCCAGTGACTCCATCCAGCCACCTCATCCTCTGCCGTCCCCTTTTGCCATCAATTGTTCCCAGCATCAGGCTCTTCTCCACTGAGTTGTTCCTTCTCATTTTAAAATATTGCCCTCAAAACAAAATATACAATCTGTTGTTAGGCCCAGTTCTAGTGGGTTACAATCAGCAGGAGTCTTGGTGGAAGGCCCAGGAAGTTCTGCATACATTAATTCTGTTTCAGTGGAAGATAATGTGGTTCTCAAATACCCAAATCCTGCAAATCATACGGCAGAACTTGGTACAGGTACAGTGGACATACAGGTGGGAGGTGGTGCAGAAGGCAGGGGCTTAGCAGTGAAAGCACCTGGTTGGCAATGCCTGCACAGGGCCTGTGTCCTCCTCTTGTGTAGGATTGTTGGGAAAATTTGGGTAAGCCCTGTCTGAAAAGCATTACTCCTGTGTGCTTTTTTGCATTGTGGGATCAAATCCTGTACTCCTTCTCAAAACCAAGTTGTCACTGTTTAAAATGGCCTTCACCCCCCCCCCCTTTTCTCTCACCTTTAGCTGTAGGCTACAGTAGACAAATATACATTGTAAATAGTCATTGTTGGAATTCAGTTTACAATTATCTTTTGATAGCCCAGAGGGCTTCATGTGCCCTGATCATGCAGAATGTTTAGAGTCGAGACAGGGGTCTGAGCTTATCATGAATAGTTTCTAGTAGCTTGCATGTCTGAGCAGACCTGGAGATGGGTTCAAGTTACTCAACTAAAGTGTCAATACAGACAATTAGAAATATTTTAATCTCATTGTTACAGTGTGATTGACTGACATTCCTTTATCTGTTCTGTACGTGATGACCTCAGAATCTCATTGTAATCTCTGCATTCTGCCATCAATGGCCCTGTACCTGTGCACCTATAAATGCCCTGCAATGGTACTGAAGCTTTGCAGCAGAGTTCACCGCTGCCTGCCCGGTAATGCAGCCTGCATTATCGTGTTATCGTGAGTGTACCGCGGGAACCTTGGGGTAAAACAATAAAGCCTCAGATGATCTGGACGCTTGGTCTTTCCCACGAACCCGAGTTTTATTCCCTCTTCTCAAATTGAAATTCCGGGATTCTGACAGGATCACTTAACAAGAGCGGAGCCTTGGCTGTACAAGCAGATCCCTTGCTAGGCAGTTTCCAGGGGCTGCGTGGGCAACCTGCAGCAACCAGACAGGAGCTCCTGGAGCGGCTGTCTCCCAGCTTGCTGCTCCTGGCCGTGGCATGCCCTGCTGCTGCTGCTGCTGCTGCTGAAGTTCCAGAGTTGCAGGTGGGCCTCCAAGGGCAGCGTCTTGCAAAAGGGAAAAAGGAATGCAGAGAGGCGGATCAGAGCCTCGCCGGCTGCAAGTCGGCAGTCACAGATTTGGGTAGAGATCTCAGGCAGGAGCAGCTGCTGCAACTGTGGCCACTCTTTGTGCGAAACTGTAGGGCAGCTGGAAGAGGATTTGGATAGCTCATATTCTGGCCTCTCCAGTCCTCTTCCCACCCAGCCCGTTAGAACAGCCTCTCGGAGATCTTGTGCGGGGCTTTCCATCTTGTCTGCAATGGATGAGGAAGTGGGGACGGAGTGCTGACTGGCTCGGGAGGGAGGGAGGACCACCGTTGACTCACACTGGCTGCATTTACACGTTACAACAAGCCATGGTAGGAATAGCTTGTCATTATGCATGGATCTGCATAACCCTGCATAGCCCTAACCCTAACCCAAATCCTCACGGAAAAACCATCTGTTCCAGGGTTTCCACATTTCAGCATTGCTTCTCACAATGCGTGAATTCAGTCAGAATGTTTTCTGTATTTCCACAATTATGCCATCAAGTTTGGTGGCAAAAGTGGCTGTGGTAACTGCTTTTTTTTTTTTTTTTTTTTTTGCTCTCCTGTTCTGCCTAGCAACTGATGAGGTAGCTGCAGCCACACTCGGATTGGCTGCCTCATGCTGCTTTCTCCTACCGACTGCACACAGCCTTCCTGATGCCCAGCTGCAGCCCTGGAGCATCAGCAGCAGGGGGGCCTTGCAGCACTGCCTCCAGGAGCAGTGGCCATGGGGTGCCCACGCCTAGAGCCCCTGCCCGGTGCTGGAGCGGTGGTCTGAAGCAGCCGTGTTGGTGCAGGCACAACCATTGGGGTGACGACTCTGAGCAGCTCAGGTCTCTCTCCTGCCACGCCTGTCTTGTCCGGGGCATTCCTGACAACTCAGGAATCCCAACAAGCTCTGCTATTCCTGGCAAAGCAAAGTCATTCCTCCTGGCCAGCTGGAAAATGTTCAGGCAGACGTCCAAAGGATGCACGCCCCTGTTCTGGACACAGGTACGTGCGCTGACCCCTCCGTGT